CTAAATTGGAAAATTCAAGATGACGGATCCAATATGGCGAAAGACATTAGTTTATATAATTATTACTCTACCACAAATAAAAAATATGTAGGATGCAAGAGTGAAAATAACGTGCCTATAAGTTATACTGCGTAAACCTACTTGTTTGTTACTTTCATCAATAAATTATTTGAAAATGACTTTTTATTTAAGGGAGACAGAAGAATAATATATGTATAACATGGGGGTAAAGTATATTCTATTCTTCATTTTCCTGCACATTTTGTACGTATTACTTTTTATCAGCCTACTTTCCGTCCTAGACGAAGTTTTATATATAGTGTGATATTAGTCACGCCATGAATTCTTCTTCGAGTTGGATTTTCGAGAATTTATCTAGCACACATTACATGAGTCGAGGTTTTCACCATTTCTCAATCATAAGGCTCAGCTCATTCAGCTCATAGAGAAACTACTGCTCAGCTTGAAATCAGAATTCATTCAGTCGATTCAGTCAACCCTGGTATACAGTCTAAGACAGTCTCTTTTGGTGGAATATATTAAGCTTTCAGTATAATTCATATGTTCCCTACCTCGCAATGATTATGCTGGAGTAGTAAACTCTAAAACTAGAGGATTGTTCATCTATATTTTGGTATAGTTGAATCAGGAATTCCATATGGAACTTACGTATGATACGCCAGTGACCTCAATATAACCTAAAAAACAACAAATGTCGAAAATCTAGTGTTTATCCCCAGAATTGAATAAGGATGGAACTATATAACTGTTTCACAAACACTTTAGAGTGAGAGGAGACGAGGATCTGGCCGTACCCTGTTAAGATGACTTTAACGTCAATTTCCATCAAGGGACCCTAATTATCGGGTTCATGGCACAGAAGGACCTTCTTAATGGTGTATCATGAACTTCAAAACAACGTGACCGTCTAAGGATCAATTGATATTATTTTTAATAAAAATACTTGCGGTCACATTTTGATAGGCAATCCGTAAAAAAATATATTTTCCTAATCATGAATATTATGTTGAAATTTAATTTTCATTAAATAACAGATGGACGTAGTAATCTTGCTCGGATCTTAGACTACAATGTTTGTCATTCACAATTGATGATATTGAAATTTTGTTATCATGTTGATTACTCAATCCTAAAATATTTCTCAATAATTTGTTTTGTGTTTTTTGTTTATGAAACTTTGCTCTTCAATTACATTCAGCAATATATGTCAATTATGCAAAGTGTATACTTTTAAATTTTCAGAGATTTATTTTCTAACTCTCAGTGACTATGAAATATAAATGGTTGTAGATAAAGTATACTAAATTGAAATATGTAGTACAAAGTACAATGAGCGTGCTCCTATATCTCCTTATTTCACTCCTGCAGCTCCATGGGGATTGAACTGTACTTAATGGGTATACAGGGTGACATTGAAATACATACAAATATTTTAAACACTGAGAAAAAATATTTGGGATCAAAATAAAATTTGGTATGAGAGTTAGGTTAGGTTAGGTTCCATGTGAGTGGGGCGAATACCTCCCCTCCACTGCGACCCCAGATGGGTCTATTGTGTCTCACCCCTAGAGGTTACAGTTCACCGTACAATCCACATCTTTTTACAAAGTTCATGGTTGAATTGGGTGAGATTTGTCTGAAATCGATAGGTTCTAAATTCGTAAAGCCAAATGTGTCGAACCTTAGTATTTCTAAGCTAGAGCATGAACATAATATGTGTTCAGCCGTTTCGTCTTCCACACAACAGAACCGACAGTCCGTTTGTTGGTTCAGACCCATCCTTCCCAGGTGGTATCTTAGACGACAGTGTCCCGTAAGCAGTCCAGTCAGAATTCGCAGGTTACCCCTGCTCCATTCTAGGATCTGCCTGGTTATTTTTTCCGATGGTTTAGGCAGGAACGCCTTCGAATGGGTTAATCCTGGTAATTCAGACCAGTACGTGAGTGTTTTTCCCTCCGCCCAGCCCGAGATAGTTGTTTTCGCCTGTTGGTCTGAGAGTAGTGAGACCCCTTTTTCCACACAAAGTTCTACACTGTAACAATTCTGACGTCACCTATGTACAAATGTTATTCATAATTATAAGGTATGTGGTAGTATACATTATCTTTTCAACACCTTGTATGTTGAATATGGATACCGTTACGAATTCTTCAGAGCAAACCCAACTTATTTTGCAATGTTCCATCTATCCTAGCAATGGGGGTACCTTTTTTTAATCAACCTGTATTATTGATGCATTTCTTCATCATGGATCTGAGATTATTTAAATTTACGAACACTGACTTGCATAACTTTATAAAAAAAATGGCACAAAATGAGGAAAGTATTGCAAAAAAACCAGTAGGATCATTCAGACCTAGGCACTAAATGAGAATATTCAACACTGATCTTGTATTAATTATTTTAGATAAAGTGGAGAATAACTTCTGAATGAGGGCTAACATTTTCAATATCACATTTTCAAAAATATAGTATCTTTGAAGTTGTCTATTTTGTATAATTGACCTGTTTCACGTAAATTTTCAGTTTAATTCCTTGGAATTCCTACCACTGCACCACATGCCAATAATAAATTTTATGATATTTCATCACAAACTTATCAAATTTCATAATATTCGTTTCATTGTGTACAGTTGCAGATTAGCACCTATTCCTTTTTTATTCAAATATTAACGTGATAATGAGTTGTTCATACTCAACTTTATGCATCATCTTTCATTATTTTTACCGCAAACCACAACTACTGGATTTTTTCATTTCAAAACTTATTATTTCTTTTCTCTGATGTTAATGATAGGTAGTCGATTGTAAGTTATAAAAGTTCAAAAAGCACCTATATATCATAAATTGTCGAATAATAAATTTATAAAATGACGTTCGAAATTGAGTATATAAAATTGATTATTAAAGAAAAATTTGAAAAACGCAGAATTTGTTATCAGTTCATATGTGTTGATTCCGGTTAATTCAATATTATTTCAGAAGAATGTCTATTTATTTTTGTTATTATAATAAAGTCATATTTAATTTTTTTTATATCTGAATACTGGTATTTTATAAAAAACTTGTCAGTAATCTCATAAAGCTGTCAATGTTAACTATTTTTTCATGAAACTTGGTACAGATCTATTTTAGCGGACGTCGATTCCAGTGGCGTACGCAGATTTTATTCTAAAAAAATCGCTAATATGGATTCTGGATATTTCGACCTCTGAACGTGATCTACACCTTCTCCAGTTGTATTTCAGAAAGCGCCAATTGTGTTTCAGAATAGTCAATTGAATTTCAGAAAGTGTTTTACTGAATTTCAGAAAGTTTCTTATTGAATTTCAGAATAGTCACTTGTATTTCAGAATAGTCAAATGAATTTCAGAAAGTGTCATTTGTATTTCAGAAAATATCAATTGAAAACCAATTAAACATTCCAAATCTCCTGCACAATTACAAATCGTGTCAGTTTAACAAAATAATTCTCGCGCTCCGCGGTCGAATTATTTCAGATGTTACACTGACACACTTTGTAATTTTGCAACAAGTTATCTACAGGGTGTCCCGTAAAGACCACGTCAAACCTAGGGAGAATGTAGATCAAAGGATAACCCACCTGCTATGGCAAAATACCCATTATAAAAGTCTCACAGTTTTCGAGATTTTTTTTAAATATTGAATTTTTGTCATTTTCAATAGTTTTGTCTGTACGGTTGGCACAATTTTTCACCTTTTTGGTGTATTTTTGAAACATTCTCCGAAAATTTTAAAGGTAGGCTGTGAGAAATATTATTATTAAAAAGTTTGGTAGTGGATATTTTCAAAAAAAAAAACTCGAAAACGGTAAGACTTTTATAATGGAAATTTTTTCATATTCATGTGGGTTATCCTTTGATCTACATTCTCCCTAGGTTTGACGTGGTCTTTACGGGACACCCTGTATGTATAACCTGAACATTTTGAAGTACTTATTGTATTACTATACCGAATATTCCGATAAAAGGTTCATTCGGGTTGCGATTTCAGAACTGTTCAAGAATCGTTCTAGAACTGCGTAAAACTAGTGCGCAGTCGTTTCGAATCGTAGGACTGTTTCAGAACGGTTCACAAATTATGAAAACCCGGACGCGGCAAAAGAGAACCTCTGAGAACATAACCTCTATTCAGGATTTGCGAAAAAACAATAGATTGAAACCTGTATCTTTATTCGAATAATATTCTGAAGCTCTCCTTTAAGTCTATTCACAATATCTCTGGATGCCCTCTGTGAAGGAATGGTGAATATAGTCCATCGTGGCATTCGTACCTAGATTTTCAATATGTTTTGTCCCTTGTACCTAAATGAATTTCGTCACCCACCTGAAATATTCAATGAATTGTGTATCCGAATATAATGGCAAAGTATCCCCAACATAATCCTCCATTTTTCGGATCATCTAACAAAAGTTCGAGAATTATCAGATTAGGCACAATATTTTCAGCAACTTCAGCAAGGAACTCCTTCACCACTGCTTCCTGAAGATGAAGAACTACTAGTATCAAATGAATGTACTACTTCCATAATATTGAGAAAATAGTGAAGAGCACTAAACAGTTGAATGAACAAAAATATATCATTATGACGTTACGCTACAACAGACAGAATCGAAAACTAAATGAAATGAGCATGCGTCAAAAATAATCCTAGTCATGCTCGAGAGCAGGTACTGGTTTTGGATAGTTCTAGGACCGTCCCAGGACTATTCTGGAAAAATCCGAACGCGTAAAGAGTCACTCCTAGAACAGTTCCACAAAACCCGAACGCGACTCCTGACAGTTCTAGAACCGTAATAGTTCGAACCCGAATGAACCTACTGAATTGATATTTGAATCACATGGAGAATGCGTATTCTCAATGTATTTCTTTATGTCCATCCATTTTTTTCATGTTCATAATATATCTGAGAATATTCCATTTCAATAAAAATCATGTATTATTTTTTGTCTTTCAGGTACAAGGCGAAAGGTGTGCTAGCCGCCTTCAGATGGTAGCCAATTCTATAGCTTGGATGGCAAGGAATCTCTCTTTCGATGAGACTTTTATATCACCATTTGCCGAAAGCGCCTTTGCTAATGGTATTAATACGATAGGTAAGTCAAATGTTCACTTTTCAGTACTAATATCTGATCAATTGATATTCCTAATATGCTTTCATTTTTGAGATCTTATCTGTTATGGTAGTAGGCTAGGAAAAAGGCGGTTTTCGAAAATCGGCCGACTTGACTTAAACAATGAATTAACGCCACTCATAGTAAAATACACTGTACTTATTTATTTTAATGTAACCATATACAGGGTGGCCCTTCGAAAAAACTCTGAAACACCTCATCTACATTTTCGAAGGGGACATCGTTTTAAAATATTTTCAGCCCTGCGGCGTTGCCGCTTCTAACGAAAAGAAGCAACATCTTTGTTATTTCAAATGAAACACCTTGTATTTAATTGCATCTCAAGATTCTCCCCGAAGAACTGATTTCGACAATGCATCACACTTGGGATCTAGCGGCAATGATTACAGAGCTATAGGGTATTCAAAATCGATGTTTTTCAACTTTTTTTTTTGCGTCGAAACTATTCATCATTGGTCAAAGCGGCTGATATAACCCTATCTCAACTTTCGATTCACTATCTACTGACATTTATTTGAAACAAATACAGGGTGGTTCAAGATTCAGAATTCTGATCAACCTGTATCTGTTCCAATTAAATGTCAGTAGATAGTAAATCAAAAGTTGAGATAGGGACATGAAAGCTGTTTTGACCAATAATGAATAGTTTCGACACAAAAAAAATCTACAGTAGAAAAATCTCGATTTTGAACACCCTGAAATCATTCCAGCTAGACCTCAAGTGTGATGCATTGATGAAATCAGTTCTTCGGGAGAATCTAAAAATGCAATGAAATACAAGGTGTTCCATTTGAAATAACAAAGTTGTTACTTCTTTTCGTTGGAAGCGGCTACGCCGCAGAGCTGAAAATATTTTAGAACGAATTCTCCCTCGAAAATGTAGTTGACGTGTTTCAGATTTTTTTCATAATCCGGTGTTGGCGACTACAGAGCCTCTGTTTGGTTTCGAATGATTTTGTCCATTTCACGAATTTTATTCAATACCATTCTGCATTCAAGAGACCTTGTATATCCCATGATTTACAAGATTTCATTGGTGAGAAAAAAATTTGTTACACCCTGTATAACGAGTATTCGAACTATCATTCGAAAGTTATTCTGAACTACTTGAAACCATATTGAATATTAATAAACGTAAAGGGTGTTCCATCTCAGTTGAGCCACCCCACCCCGTATATTTCTTATCCCATTGTGAGTGGAAAATTCTCCAGAAACACGTTGAATGATTTTGTTTGGGGGACATCTTTTGACGTATATTTTAGGCTTGAACGAGCAACCCCCTAATAGGGGGCGCTTCAATCCCTCAAACTTGAATAGGGGAGAGGGGTTGAGTGATACTTCATTTGAAAGGTCTTGGAAGTCTCTTTACAACGGTGTATGAAAAACGTAAACTTGATGAACCATTTTCGCCAAAAATCGATTTTGTAGCTCGAATGAGCCACCTTGAATATTTTGGTTTTTTTCATCAAGCTCTTTTTACAATCTTAAACAATCTTCTAAAAATCACATCCTTAAAAAAGCTGAACCGTTTTATCATGCTTACAATCAAAAAAATCAAAACTGCGTGTTTAAATCAAATGTTCAAATTGCTCCAAAATATACGTCAAAAGATGTCTATATGAGATAAGAGTACGAGGTGGCTCGTCTGAAATGGAACACCCTGTATAAGGAAATGAAAGACTATTTTAACTGACAGATGCAGTTTATACCAACATGAAACTTGCATAAAAAGTAGGCATGGCTTGGTAATGTTTTTGGTGATAATTATATAAAAATTATTGTTGTTTAATAACTAGCATGTTATTTGTTTTTCATCAATTTACAAAATTTGAGTTTGACTTTGAACTTTTTATTACCAAATCATTAATGAACGCGATATTGCGTCATTTAGTAGCTATTTTTACCAATCAAATATATTCAAGATTATTTTTTTGTTGATACATTCATAATTCGTTTTTTTTTTTTTTTCGGAATGTGGTTCCGAACATAATAACAACAAAACAATCCAGTTATCCTGTTCATGAATATCTGTTCAAAATAAAATTTTCATATGAATTGAATTTTCTCCACAAAATCTCAAACGGGTAAAATAAAAAAAGTCGGTATGGTTGTAACCATTTTGAATTACTGATTCACCTTTTGGTGGTTCGTTCTGATAAGTTCAAAGCTATGAAACTGTAATTTGGAAGGTGTTTTGGATCACAGGAAAGTGAATCCTTGCCTACCTACCTGAGGTCGTACCTGAGATAGCTTTTGAGGGAAGGTAATATCATTGAAAAGACACGATTACGCTAAATAAAATACAAAAAACCGACTTTAGTTACGCAAGATAATAAGGCAGCTGGTGGTAGTTCAAACCATTATTCTTGACTAACACTAAATTATTCCAGATTTTTTGGGATTTCCCCTCTTTTCTATAAAATAAAAATATGAATATTATTTCATTATACGTGTAGTAAGGTCAAATCAGAAATTGTTGGTACCGGCCCTGAAAGCATCGGTAACCTCGGTTGATTAACATATTCATGGTAATAGTCTAAATATCTTCGTTTGACATTTAAGAACCGTAATTTCGATGTTGGCACTCTCGAACATGATCGAATCGAGTGCTTGGCTTGAAAAACAAAATGGCCGGCATCGCAAGCACTTGAAAGCATCGGTAACCTCGGTTGATTAACGGATCATATCCGTGGTAATGGTCTTAATCTCTTCGTTTGACATTGAAGAACCGTAATTTCGATGTTGACACTCTCGAACATGATGCGTTCGAGTGCTGGGCGCGAAAAAGAAAATGGCCGGCATCGCAAGTACTTGAAAGCATCGGTGACCTCGGTAGATTAACTGATCTTATCCGTGGTAATAGTCTTAATCTCGTCATTTGACATTGAAAAACCGTTAATTTCGATGATGGCACTCTCGAACTTGATGTGTTCGAGTGCTGGGCGAGAAAAACAAAATGACCGGCATCGCAAGTACTTGAAAGCATCGGTAACCTCGGTTGATTAACGGATCATATCCGTGGTATTAGTCTTAATCTCTTCGTTTGACATTGAAGAACCGTAATTCCGATGTTGGCACTCTCGAACATGATGCGTTCGAGTGCTGGGCGCGAAAAACAAAATGGCCGGCATCGCAAGCACTTGAAAGCACCGGTAACCTCGGTCGATTAACGGATCATATCATATCTTAATCTCTTCGTTTAACATTGAAGAATCGTAATTCTGATGATGGCACTCTCAGACATGATGCGTTCGAGTGCAGGGCGCGAAAAAGAAAATGGCCGGCATCGCAAGCACTTGAAAGCATCGGTAACCTCGGTTGATTAACGGAACATATCCGTGAATAGTCTCAATCTCTTCGTTTGACATTGAAGAACCGTAATTTCGATGTTGGCACTCTCGAACATGATGCATTCGAGTGCTGGGCGCGAAAAAGAAAATGGTCGGCATCGCAAGCACTTGAAAGCATCGGTAACCTTGGTTCATTAACGGATCATATCCGTGGTAATAGTCTTAATCTCTTCATTTGACATTGAAAAACCGATAATTTCGATGATGGCACTCTCGAAGATGATGCGTTCGAGTGCTGGGCGCGAAAAACAATGGCTGGCATCGCAAGCACCTTTGATTTATCTCAGTAACCATTGGGATTAGAAGAATCATTTTCATAAGAAAATTCTTGATACATCCTACACATAAAATGTCATAAGTCTTTCAATTCCTATGTCCACGTATACAGAATGGGGCAACAGTGCGTTGCAGCTCGATTTTTCGAGTTCTAAGATAATTAGAAGCATGGTTCAGAAACGAATGTAAGAATGGTATCATATCATGTTTTTTCCGCAGTAGTGCCAGAAAAATATTCTCGCACTGTATAAGAAAGCTATTGTTGCATGGACTTCGTACCAATTATCGTAGTCTCCCTTTGGTATGCATACAAATAATGTCATTTCAATCTTTCAGGTGGTAAACCAGATGATATAACCGTCATCTTGGCAACGGTTGCAATATGAAGCCTTCAAGAAAGTAGAGAAATTTTCATGGCTAGAACCTGCTGGTAAACACGTTGTATACCTAAGTTAAGTATGTATTAGTAAATTATGGTTTTCATTTTGCATTTCATTGTATATTCAACCATCTTTACTTTCGATTACGAGTAGATTGTGATTTTATCATTCGAACTGGAGTGCGCGTTTTGACGATTTGGGCGTCTTTGTCGTGGACGTTTGATGGCACAAATCGTTTATATCTTTCAACTGGTTTACAAGAACAGGTGACGATTGTCATTGTCCATTCAGGAGGAGGTGGAGAACTGTCAATTATTTTTCAGGCGTCAATGGATGAGAAATATTTCTTCCAGACTATGGAGTTGAATAGCACACTGTATGTAACATGTAACAACCTGAAGAACATCATTTAGACAAATTTTCTAGGGAGAACCAAAGATCTAATTTTATAATGTACCTACTAGATTCTGCTATTCGCGATAGAAAATAACACATCGCCCCAGGTTTGTTTTGATGATATGACCAATAAGCACAAACAAAAAGCAAATGTGAACCAATGAAAACAAAGTAAACAGGCCGCTTTGACAGCTCTCAAGAACTCCGATAGGTGGCGTACGCTTATTTTCTATCGCGAATATCGCGCCTAGAGAGAAAGATAGACAGAAAGAGAGAGAGGGGGCGAAGGGGGTTGAAAACAACTTGAGAGACAGGCTCGGAGACAGGCGAAGGTTGTTATTAGATCTTTGGGGATATACCCATTCATGACTGAAAACAATCTCATGGCTGTTATGTTATTGCTGAAACAGTAGTTATGCAACAATCATATTGTGCTGGCATTGCTTCGCAAAACTTTCTCAAAATTGTATCAGCAGACCAGGTTGATGAATTCATGTGACCTATACTTGTAAATCAGGTCATTATACAGGGTTTTCCAAATTTTACCAGCGATAATTTGGGTTCTTGAAAGTGTAATAATCAATGACACATCACATGTTGAACTTAAATAATTATTTGTATAAGTTATTTTTTTATGATTAGCTGATCCATAGCTGCATTTGAAATGAAATTTTAAACGAAATTTGAAACATTGCAATATTGCATATTACACTTTTTTTGTTATACAAGGTGGGATTATAGTGGGCCAGAATTCGATTGGTAGAGTCCTATGGTAGATAAAAACAGGATAAAAGAATATATGTATAACCAAAATTTACTGCCGTATATACAGGGGGCACGACCCAACGGTGCATTTTCGTATAAAGGTAAGTTGATTTCAATCGTTCTATCATGGAAGCAATGGGTAGTTTTCTCCCATGTGTGTTTAATCAAATTTATTCACACGCCGGAGAGAATGGATACCTTTGATATATTTAAATAGCTATCAAACCAAATATTGACAAATGCCTCTGATATTTTCTAGAAAAACTTTGAAGTACTAAGAAGTTTTGAATTGAAAAAAAAATTACAATTGTCATTCAAAATATCTAAAACAGCATAAAACATTTTTGGTTTTGACCTTCAAATTTTGAATTATTTACGTTGGAGCTTTTTGAATGTGTGTGGACCATGTCCCTGCAAATTGCATTCGGATTTTCAATTTTGAAGGACCAAAATATTGCAAAAATGTCAATATTTTTGAAAAAAGATCTCCCCTCAAGGCGTAGGATCTGGAATTCACTGTTAAAAACCGCTCTGTTCGTCAGTTTAGCTCGAATATTCATTAAAAAGCAAAAATATGGATCCCTTAATTCTACTGTTTTTTCAGTTTTAGAAATTATTGCTGGTGGAATTCGGAAGACTGTATATTACTTGTTGCTAGATTTTTTGTTCATAGATCAATTTATACTTACGTTTAACTTTTTGTAAATTGCGATTTTTGCAAAATTCGACTGTAATTTCCATCACGGAATGAGAAATATAATCTTTGTGTTTTTGTTGATATTATTTTACTTGATAAAAAATGAAAATTTCCAATTGGAAAAAACTGTTGAGGAAATAAAAACTTCTATAACACTATTTTGTTATTTTATTTAACGTTGATAAATGTCTAATTTCAAATTTTTATTCTTCAACTTATTAGACAAACCTTTGAAACAATGGTTAAACTATCACTCAATTGAACCCACTCAGTGTATTTTTTACATACAAGGTTGTTACGAAACGGGGTTGATCTCAGGGGTTGAAATGAAAGTCCTGCTACGGGGTTCCGGTTCAAGAGTATTTTATTACAGGTGATGCGTTGAATATACAGGGTTGATCGTTGGGAAACTTATCTGGAATCTATAATGAATAATACCTATGTTAGGACTATGACTTTGCCGAAATCACGTGCAAATCCTTATACTAGTTAATGAGGCTGTACAAAAATCACAAAACTCACCTATAATGAATACAGGCACAATCTCCAAATATCAGGAAACCTGGTATTTGCACTTTTTGACCAAAAGCACTCACTATATGAATCCGAAATAAATAGTTAATGGACCACACGATGATGGAGGTTCACTGATAGCGAATTATACCGGCGTTTCGAAAATTCGAGAACATGAAAACTACTTTTTGCCACACTTTTTTGTGATATAGACGAGGTGCGCAAGATACGGGCGTCTTTTTCATTCCATCGAAGAAAGTGCGCACTGATAGATGCGGTTTTTTGTCGTGACGTCACCAATTGTTCTGTTGGAATTTATGCTGGAAGGATTGAACAATGGTTTATACAACACATTGATGGAAACACGGATTTTGTTGTGTGTCAGCCATCATGTATCTTGAGAATCAGAAAAGGCTAATTCGACTTTATTGATTAACACTGACTCTTTCTCCTAAAATCTCTCAAAAATCCTCAATATTAGTTGTTTTCTATCAAATCAAAACAAAAAACAACACTAAAATGTGTCAACTGTCATGTCAATCTCCTCCAAACTGCTGGATTCTCGAAATGCGATTTAAAAGTGCGCATTTTATTACAACAGTTTGATGGATGTCCATCAACATTCCAGCGGAATTTTGCAACAGTTTGATGGTTTCTTCGATTCATGCGCATGATAAAATGTTGGAATGAAAAACGCACCCTACTACCTATAATTGTCTCTACCATATAGAGTATTCTCGAACCACTTAGGCAACTCGTAATTCATTCATTTGTACGCGGTGTGGTATACCACCAGGCGAAATTCCTTCCACACAATCATTATAAATCCAATCGGCACAAAGTTGAAAGTTCACTAGGTGCTAGGAATGAATAAACAACAGCCTTGGGCATGCTGGCGTTTAGCGCCTCGACCACAAAAACACCGTGTATATAAAAACTCCTAAACGCGGGGACTCCAAAATACGAGGGTAAACGAAAAGTGATGGGACGAACACAAATATCGTACATACATTCAGGCCGTATACAAATTTGATGATTTCGTCGTGATGGACAGGAAAAATGGTTCTGTTACAAGGTTACTGATGAAGTTCCATACATTTCGTGATTTATTGTTGTCATGATTTTTTTATACTTTCACTGGCGTTATATCTTTAACTAAATGGCAAACCTGGAATACGTTTCACTCTCAAATTATGTAAAAAAAATTCAATAGCTGCTGAGTCATAGAGGATCGAATAATTTTGACAGTACATTTTGTCACAATGTTGTCAAATTTGTTGAATATTTGATGATAAATAAATAAAGGTTCTCATTCACGAATTATGTATTTTTTAGAGGTAGGTACCTCTCATTTGAAATGTTTGCAAAGTTGTGAAGACAATCCTCAGAACAAAAGATGACCGTTGAAAAAAGTTCTAGTTTACTTGGCAAATCTAGAAAGAGCATCTTAACAGGATTTGTTGTCAAATTGAAACCTAAAAGGGCTTGTTCGGATGGATTTGAAATCAAGACAGTAAAAAGAAAACAAGACCAAGTATAGCTTCTTATAACAACACATTTCTACTTTCCAAAATTTTCAATGCGAATCAACAGAAGTAGTTTTAGCCTGATTAATACAAGCCGCGTGATTTTGTCATTATGACAGCGAAAAAAGTTTGCCCTAACTTTTCCAGCGACAATAACGGAACCTAACTTTTGAAAGCATGACAACCAGCAATAAACAAATGTTCGATGAATTAAAATTGTCTTACCGAATTACACTCTAGCTTTTTTTAGTCGAAGTAAACTTGGCATTTATAATTCGAATTTTGTTGCCATTAGGTAATTCAACTCAAAAAACTGCCAGAAAAAATTACTCCTCCCACGGACTCGTAATTTTTTCAGAGGCAGTTTTTTTCGTCAAATTGCCAGGCAACAAAATTCTTATTGATACATGTCAAGTTTACTTCGACAAACAAAAGCTCTCGTGTGACAATAAATAATATCATGATTTTCTGATCCACCGGTTGCCCAAAGAAGTTATTAAAATGTATGTGAAGGTTATTTCATGTGACCCATTTCAAACAATTGAATGTAAGTACAGTAGTTATATTTTTTTAGTTGACACATTTGCATTCAAATTTTGATTAGGCTGACCAGTCGTTAGATCTTTTTGAATTTTCATACATGGTGAATTGGAAATGTGGCGGTTCGAAAAATTATATCGCCAATGTTGCCACGTTATCAGTTTTTCCGGAATTATTATCAACTTCCTTATTTTAAATAGAACACCTTATATATTTTTATATCATTTGATAGATACATTTTCAACACTGATATACTATTTTATAGTTTTATTCACAATATTCACGAAGATATCTGAAAAAAACTTGCAAATTATTCCTGAATAATTAAAAGCTGATTAAACAAGGAGGCTGATGAAAAATATATCATACTCATGTGTTAATTATCAGACAATTCTGATGTCAATAATTTTCTCAACTGCAGAATATATCATTTTGGAAAAAACGAATCTTTGTCTATAATAATACTGTTTGTTACTCTCGGAAAGAGACCGTATTGAGATATTGATGATGATTGGATTCGGAGATAGAAGAAGAACAAAGATGTTTCAGATCTCTTCAATACGAGTCACCCAGATCGAGAACCAATATCACGAAGTACAGTATCCAAAGCTTTGAAACGATTCGAGCATACTGGGAATGAAAAGAATATTTGAAAAACAGATTATCTAAAATTGTGAGTGAAATAACGGATTAAATCTTCTGAAAATGGGCATGCCCTTATCTTTTCAGACACTTCATTTCCTTCTTGCTTCAAAAATGATGTAAACCCAGTTTTGGGAGAGTTGGAGGGGGATCCAAACTTTTATTGGCACAAATTCAATGTTTAGAAAGAGAAACTCTGACTTTGAATAGCATGGCCTTGTGGGCAACACAAAAATTTAAGAAGTAATCAACGAAAGGGGACGTCATGACATCGTTTTCGAACTCAATGGGTTAAACCGCTGAACGCTTTTGCATACGCAGGTGATAGTATAATCGTAATGCATTTGAGACTGCTATTTCAGAGCCGTGCAGAGTACTGGAATACTTAGATTTGATCCGTTATTATGATCACAATTTCATATAATCTTTTTTTCAGGGCCGGGCTGGGCCGCCGATCGATCGGACCGGACCATTTTTGGCCCGCTGGCCTGGACCATTTTTGCCCCACTTGCCTGGTTCTGCCGGAGTTTTTTGTTTTCGACCCGATATCAATTTGGTAAAAATTTGAAATTTTATACAATTGCATGTGCATTCTACTAAACTCGTATTTGCGGCAATAAGCAACCGCAAGCGAGAATTGACTATCCTCGCAATTCATCGTGGAAGAGAAAAACAATAGCTATTTATATATCAAGCATAGATTAATTCATTAATCTATGTATCAAAGGAGCAAAGGTATCCATTTCCAGCGGAGGGCATTATAGGGTTCTACTTGCCAAATATTATAGGAGAGACCAGGTGGTGGGCCAAAGATAAAGCACTATTGAAAATTTTTGGAATGTAGAACGGTGTTTTTGTCGAGGTATGTCAAACATTATATGAAATTGCACAATCCCAAAATTTTAATGCCGATGTTCGATTCAAAGCACAAACTCTACTTGACGGATTTTCAAAGTATGAAACGATTATTACCGCTATATTGTTTGTACATTTTTATGCATAGTCCTCTTTCAAAGTATTTGCAAACTTCTGGTATGGATCTTTTGCAATGATACCGCATGGTACTTGACACATTAGATGCACTGAAGTTATTGTCCCGAGACTACCAGAAAATTAGTGGAGAAACTGAAGAATTTATTCAGAGAATAAATGATAAATTTCTTGAACGCAACATCCTTCTAGACATACAAGTACAGATGAACATTCAAAGAATGTTTTAGAAAGCAGATTTGTGAATCACAAAGATATAGTTGTATCAAGATTTTGAATGTTTCCATCCATCAAGTTTTTCAGGTCCTTCAGAAATGCCAAAGAATATTTTACATAGAATTTGTGAAAAATTAACAAAATTTCATCCCGAAGTCACACTAGATAAGCTACAAATGGAAATTCTAGATTTTAGTTCCAAATGGAATAATCTGTCATCTGCATTACCAGATGCTTACACTATTGAAGAATCGGAAGACGATGTTGATGAAGTCAGTGTTGATCACAAGTTTTGTAAAAAATGTATTGTTTGTTGCTACTATGTATTGCAATAATATAATTTGTATGCAGAAGCGTATCCTGATTTAGAAAAGGCATATAAATATTTATTAACACTTTCGATTTCACAAGTTGCATGTGAGAGAGGTCTTTTTCTAAATTGAAATTTATTTTAAATAGAGTAAGAAGCTGTTCGACCCAAGATCATGTGGAGGTTTTCATGTTGATGTCTTCTGGAAAAACTATTTTACTGTCAGTGGAATATGATTACATTTTAAATAGTATGACAAATAAGTCTGAAGTTTTCAGAAGCTTACTTGCAGTGTGAATGAGATGTTATATATTTGTATAATAATAATAATAATAATAATAATAAAATGTCTTTATTTTAATAATTCTCGGCGAAGTCCAGTTGAAAACTGCTAGATGAAGTTTGTTTGTTGAAACAATGTTAATTCAACTGTGATTTTTATGTTATCATATTTTTTGTAGGTTGTTATCTACATATTTATATGTCTTTATACAAGAGTCTTAATTTTTTGATTATTAGTTTCATCATATTCTATTTTTTGTTTGTCTGTGTTTTAATGAGAAAACTTTTTTTAATTCAATTAATTTTTGATCATTGCATTTCGAGCAGTTGACCTTGAAATTTGTAAAAAAATTCGCCTGCCGCGCACACTTTTTGACATATAGTTGGCCTGCTTGGGGAAATACGCCCGGCCCGTTTTGAACCTCCAGTCCGGCTCTGCTTTTTTTTATTTACCCATAACTTAGGAGTGACTGTAGCTCGAAGGGATAAACATTTTAACAGTTATATTTCCATTTGAAATATAACGAAGGTGATAACGGAAGTGCCGCCATCTTGCAAATATTTTCATTGAGCAGGACTAGATCGATAACCCCTTGGTACGAATTTTCAGATCAGTGTCATTTTTCGACCTCTGAATAAGTCTAATGGGCTGTTTTTCGATTTAGACCGAACAGCCTGTATAGGCAGTGTAATACAATACAGGGTGGGCCACCATCAGTAACGCCTCGGTCTCTAGAAGGCTAACCACTTATCTTCTTGGAATTCTTCCTCTCTAGGAAGTTGCATGTCAACATAGGCTACCATTTAAAATTATTTCGAAACATACAGGGTGTCCCCAAAAACCATAAAACACTGAAGTTGAACTTTTTTCAATCGAACACCCTATATATTATTTCATTTTGAGATTCTCCCTGATGAGCTGATTTCAACGACTCATCATACTTGAGGTCTAGCAGTTATAATTACTGAAATATAGGGTGTGAAAAATCGAGATTTTCCAAGTTCAAGAATTTTTTGTGTCGAAATTATTCATAATTGGTCAAAACGGCTTACATGTCCCTATCTCAACTTTTGATTAACCATGGTCTTTGTTTATACGTCCATGTGATTAACTATATCTACTGATATTTAATTGGGACATATACCGGGTGATCAAGATTCTGAATTCTGCACCACCCTGTATTTGTTTCAATTAAATCTCAGTAGATAGTTGATCAAAAGTTGAGATAGGGACATGTGAGCCGTTTTGACCAATTATAAATGGTTTAGACACAAAAAATTCTTGAACTTAGAAAATCTCGATTTCTCACACCCTATATCTCAGTAATTATAACTGCTAGACCCCAAGTATGATGGATTGTTGAAATCAGCTCACTAGGGAAAATCTCAAAATGAAATAATATATAGGGAGTTCGATTGAAAAAAGTTCATCTTCCAGTGTTTTGTGATTTTTGGGGACATCCTGTATGTTTCAAAATAATTTCAAAAATAATTTCCTAGAGAGGAAGAATTCCAAGAAGATAAGTGGTTAGCCTTCTAGAGACCGAGGCGTTACTGGTACTATAAATGAGAAATAAACCGTCTTCTGACGTCTTACTTATATATAAGATGAAAATATTTTCTACATCAGGGTCATTTTTAGTTTCGTGCAATGTCTCATATATGTTTCAAATTAAGACAATATTTTCTACAAATTTATGATTGTAAAACCAAATTCAACAGCAACCTAATAATTATGTTCCACGAACATACCTATATTATCTAGGTATGACTTCATATAGTTGCCTGTTCTTTAATGTGTCTGAAACTCAAAAAAACATTATTTTTGCAACTCTCTTCTCTTGTTGATATAATGTATAGTTAATATCCATACTTCGTTTTTTAGCCCTACCCTTCATCATCAACTTTTGAATGTGACTGTGTGTACATAATGACAATATTATTCATAATTAAAATGTATCCATTAGTATTTCACCTGGAGAAGCTACATGTTGCAAAACATGTCTAGGTAGTTAAGAATTCTTATGGTTTGTGAAGTTTTCACATTCACTATGGAATTTAAATAAATAAATTTGTTTGAATATCTAACAGAAAATAGGTAACTACTTTCCTGGCTTATACACTTACCGGTAAAAAAAGGCCCCCAAAAAATTTAGTCAAATTGTTCACCCTGTAACTTCTTCAATTTTTGTCCGATTTTGGTGAAATTTTGATCGAATCGTAGATTCATGTTCCGGAATGTTAACCTGAATATGAATTCCCAAAAAAGGTGATAGCTTGGTCATTATACAGGGAAAAACAAGAGTTACTCATTTACCCATAACTCCTTAACGCCCTGTGGCTGAAGTGAGTGGTTGAACTCCTCTTCATTATGTCTTGGATTGAAGAGTATTCTTTTCTCATCACAATAGTTTTTGATTCACGTCGATATCTCATTTTTTAGAAAAGATACGAGGGTTTTAAGAAAGTATGGAGTTATTCAAGTTTTATTAACAATAATCAGAACGTAGACACACCTACACAAAAAAACCTTAATTACAAAAAACAAACGAAAAGTAGATTTCCTAGATGTATTCAATACCGAGTATGCCCTCCTCGAGCTTGAATTACAGCATTTAATCGCCGTGGCATCGAGTTGATCAGATTTCTCAAGCAGTCTTGAGGAATTGCCTCAAATTCTTCTTGAAGGGCGAATCGTAGCTCTTGAAGAGTCTCTGGAAATGCCGGACGTAGACGAATGCGCCTCTGTAGTTCATCCCAAAGATGCTCTATAGGATTGAGATCCGGGCTGCATGCTGGCCCAGTCAAGCCTTAGAATTCCGACCTCATTCAAATACTCGGTTACAATTCGAGCAACGTGTGGTCTGGCGTTGTCATGCATCAAGACAAAGCCGTCTCCAATAATATGGAAAGTATACCAAGAAAACGATGTGGAAATAAGCCATATTGATTTAAAGATGTTTTTTTTAAGTTGTCGATCGATAAGTTCATGTACGTTCTGATGATTGTTAAATAAAACTTGAATAACTCCATACTTTCTTAAAACCATCGTATCTTTTCTAAACAATGAGATATCGACGTGAATCAGAAACTATTGTGATGAGAAAAGAATACTCTTCAATCCAAAACATAATGAAGAGGAGTTCAACCACTCACTTCAGCCACAGGGCGTTAGGAAGTTATGGGTAAATGAGTAACTCTTGTTTTTCCCTGTATAATGACCAAGCTATCAGCTTTTTTGGGAATTCATATTCAGGTTAACATTCCGGAACATGAATCTACGATTTGTTCAAAATTTCACCAAATCCGACAAGAACTAAAGAAGTTACAGGGCGAACAACTTGACAAAATTTTTTGGTGGCCGGTTTTTTTTGCCGGTGAGTGTATATCACAGAATATTGAACTATACTAGCTGTTTGATATTTATTAACACTTATTATTTCATTTTCTATATCTTTTTTGTTTGGCTATCCATAACAGCTCTATTCTTTAGGATTTCAAACTACTATTTATTTTTTACTTCTGTTTTAGTTCCGCAATCTATCTGTTCAATGTTTCAAACTATATATTATTTATTTTTTACTTCTTTTTATTTTGACTTTTTATAAAAGCGTGTTTCATACGTTTTTGAAACTATTAAAATTGTTCTATTTTATTACAATGGTCCTTCTGTTAGAAATCCTGATTGAGGTCATACTATTCGTGGCCTGATATCAAGAGTTCCGACACTCTGTATCTTGACAAGAATGATTAATGTCATATAATCAAAATAGTAATTGTGTCAGTTTATTCTGTCTCTAAATAATATTCTTTGTACTTTATAAGTATTGGAGTATTCTTAATTCAAACATACGTAGTTCAGTTATAACTTGAGAACCTTCCATTTTTTCATCTCTAACGTTCGCCATATTAATTGAATCCTCAATCTTGAATTTTCCAATTTTGACGTAGAAATCATAATCTCCGACCCCGAAAACTCGTTCGTCATATTGGATTCGCCATCTTGAATTTTCCAATTTTGACGAAAGAATCATAATATCCGACCCCGAAAACCCCCCAGATACAAATTGTTGATAAAATCGGATCATAATTACAAAACTCGTCCGTCATATTGGATCCGCCATCTTGAATTTCCTAATTTTGAAGAAGGAATCATAATCCTCGACCCAGAAAACCCCCATATAGTTACCAATAATTGTGAATATAATCGGATCATAATTACAAAACAGGTCGCCATATTGAATCCGCCATCTTGAATTTCCAAATTCCTACGAAAGAATCACAATTTCCGACCCCGCAAACCCGGAGATACTAATTTTGAATAGAATCTCGGATCATGATTACTAAACTATCGTCTGCCATATTGGATCCGCCATCTTGAGTTTCCAAATTTTTACGATAGAATCATGATATCCGAACCCGGAAACCCCTAGATACCAGTTTTGAATATAAGCCGGTCATAATTACGAAACTCATCCTCCATATTGGATCCGCCATCTTGAATTTCCCAATTTTGACCAAAGAATAATAATCATAAGAAAATCCCTAGATACCAATTTCAAATAGAATCGGGCCATAATTAGAAAACTCGATCGTTGATCATATTGTATCCGCCATCTTGAATTTCCAAATTTTGACGAAAGAATCATAATAACCGACCCCGAAAACTCCCAGATACCAATTTTGGATATAATCGGAATAAGGAACCATAGGGATAACTATAAAAGGGTCATGAATTCAACATACCATTTTTTTGCGTCCTTCAAATGTCACTTAGGCTACGTCATAATTATTCTCATACAGATGATTTGAATTTCCTGTAATAATTTGCCGTCATTCAGACGTCTCCTTAACGTCAGTTGGCAATCATTTGATATGAATAATGACATCATTGCATACTGAAAAACATCTGTTTAACGAAAAATGTTTCATACCAATATGGCGATCAGGTTTGATGTCAATCTTCAGGGAAAGTCAATAAAAAAGGCACTGATTAAGAATATATTCAGTGTTTATTGAAATGAAAATTAATCGGCATTCTCAATTTTTTGTTTCAATTTTAGTTTGAATATCAGTATGAAACACTTATGGAAAATATAACGTCGAATATATACCACAAAAATACAGTAATCTAATCACTCATTATTCCTCAATGACTATAAAGGGGTTTTGGTTTATGATAATAAATAAAGGTAGTACAAAAACAGTTTTCAACGATTCTCAGCGTTGTCATTTTGTTCCTGATTATGTTCAGCATTGTTTTCGTTTGCTGGCCTATTATTCTGGTTTCCCCATTGGAAACCTCCTGGTTGCTCTTCAGGTAACCTCTGATAATCATCAGGAAGTGGGTCAAATAAAGTTCTCCTAAAACATGAAAAATTAATGATGAAAAAGTTCTGACCTCTACATATTACAGTGAAAAGAATAATTTCATCTAGAATGATAGTTCTCTATGAATTCAACATGACATTTTTGATTGGACTACATGACACAAAAATCACTTCCCACTATGACACAAAAAAAGCACTTTCCCTGATCAAGGCGACTTCCCATTCCAAAATATCTTTTATTCAAAGGAGAACCCATTGAAAAGTGAATACAGCAATATAAGCTATTATTAATCAGAATTACGTCATTTGACACTTTTGATAGTTCGTTGGAGGGCAAACATTGTATTTGGCCATATGAAACCAGAAGTAGTGGGCTCTTTTTTCTTGGAACCCGAAAGAATTTCATGATTTTGTTTGGTGAATCTGTCTGTCTGGTCTGTACAAAACTCACTACATATTCCTGAGGTCAAAATAAGCCGATTTGAAGTAATAACTTACCTGAGTCCGAAATTGTTACGAGATACAGGGCGGTTAAGTTAAAAAATGAAAATCCAATTTTTCAAACTGTATCAACATTTTCAAAAGTATCACTTCAAAAATTGGTAGCCAAGAGCTTTTTGGGATGCGAAACCCGAATACGGACACCCTTTCACTGTGGCCATTAGAGGGCGCTTACAAATGCACTTCTTATGGTTTGGAATGGTCATAACTTTTTTTCTCAGAGTAGTTTCTCAATTTTTTTTGAGTAAATGGTTTTCTGAATATTTAAGAGCACAAAGGTGCTCTTGTGGAAATTCACTCAATTGTCCGGTTTTTCGAGATATTTCGGTGTTCAGTATTCGATGCCGTACAGGAATAATTAAATCATTTGGATTGAAAAATGTTTGCTGTTATCTTCGTATACTTTTTTGCAATGTGCTTTTTTTATGTTCTGGTTCCCACGAAAAGGGATATCCTGTAATGTTCAGAGAACATCGTGAGATTTTTATTTTTTAAATTTACCACCCTGTATCTTGGAAACGGAGCAATTTTGGACTGAGGTGAGTTGCTTTAAACCGTCTTATTTCGAACTCCGGACTATGTGCTGAGATTTTGTACTGGTCTTTTAGGAACACCCTGTATATTGTGAATGTGGGGAGGGGATAGTTTATGTTTCCTCCAAGAAACCATGTCAAAATCGCGTGTTCTATATAGACTATGGTCAATAGTAGTTTTAAAATTCAAAGGCTATACTTATTCCGAATTCAACTATGGTCAGTACCATAGGTCAGTACCTCCGAACAACAAATGTCAGTAGATCCACTGACTGCTAAAAATCTGTATTGCTAAATATAAAATCAAAAATACAGTGCTGTAATTCGGAACTGCTTTCATCAGTCATTAGCAGCAGTTGATCAGCTGGTAAAAGTTGTCAGTTGTCAGGTTGTCACTTCTGTAGTTTTGTCGTTTATCTGGCCATTTCAATAACGGGCATTTTTTTGATATTAAAAATGATACTATTAATTTATTATTGTCAAGAAAAGACTCAACGTTCAAAAAACAAAGGAAATAAATGTGATTTTTCTTCCCCCTCTAAAATAATGACAGTTCACTGAAGCCACACTACCTTTTGATAGTTAGCAATTCCAGCAGAATGTTAAGTCGAAATATTTGGAATAAATAGTATGTCTGCTCACAACTATCTGTCACTTTCAGTATTTTTTTTTATTTTGGAATGAAAAATCAGCAGATTCAGTACTGTCAATTGAATTCGGAATATAGCCAAAGTCAAATTTAATCATAAACATAAAATAAAATTATTCAATATTTTTTCTCGAACTCCATAAACAAATAATAATCTTTCCCAGTTTGCTGGTTTTGAATCCCACATAGCAACCGTAGCATGGAAGTAAACTTACATAAGTGATGGTGTTTTTAGAATTTTGAAACCTCCTCTTTGGTTGGGAAAGACATCTTCTAAGAAATAATAAATATGTCCCACCGCAATGCCCATCAAATCTACGTAAACAGCATTACCTAGAAGCACCGAGAATGCCAGAAGAATCCAAGGCAAATAAGGCGCCTGCAAATTCAAGAAAATAGCAAAATAAAATCTGGATCGCGTTTTTGAAGTGATAACTTCCATAGGTTCGTTAGGCACTTTCTGGTATGAGAGTAAAACGCCAGACTCGCGTCACGGAAGCGCGCGTACCAGTCTATACCTATACGTCTGGTTGATATGCGACAGCCGCTGCTGTACCTCACCCTCAGTAACAGCGTAGTCGTCAGCTCTGACCTGACATGCATCGAGGTCACGGATAGTCTAATAATATTGTGTTCTCGCTCGAATTACAAATATTTCTTTGCATCAATCATATCATTTATGATACACAGGGTGAGTAATAAATACTTCTTTACAAGAGGCAACTTGAAATTTGTCCATCAATATTTTTAGTTGTAGTTCATCCTTTTCTCGAATACGTGGAAATATTACATAAAATTAATATTACTTCAATAAGATTCCCCCGTTTTGTCCAAAAGATATTGGAAATACTGACCGGCCATATAGAAGTTATCACTTCCAACGTGTGGTCCTAAGCACACAAATTTTGTTCTTCTTCTACAGTTCCACATTCTAGTGCTTGAGACACCTGATGCAATGATATCAAGATACTAACCTGAAAATTGAGCAGGCCAAAAAAGTTCATCCTCACAAATGGATTCCGCCTTGACCAGACATAAACTAACATTATCGTAAATGCTTGACCTAAGAATAATAAATTAACAAAGAAGGCAAAGCACTGAGATGTTTGTTAAGGCAAATTTCTTTGGTGATACATAATAACATAATATTGGTTCTCATGAACTGAAGTGAGCCAAAGTAACTACATATTATGTGAGTACCTTCAGAGTATTTCAGAGTGTAACTTATTTTTTCTACAAACGCTTAACAAAGTAGCCTTTGACGCTTTCAAATTCCAGCACAAAGTTGTCGTTTTCCCAGAAATGTCATTCTTTGACAGCATTTGCGCTCGTGAGCAGAAATATTGAAAAAAACGCTCGCTTATCTCTGTAACCTGTACTTATCTATTCTTGAAAACCCCCAATTCTTTCATGATGGAAAATAGTGACAGTGAATCATCAAACACACCTCCTTCCTGATGATATAGCAGAAAGCGCAAGAGTTTGAATCTCTCACCGGAGAAATCAAGGAAGAAATATGAATTACAATATGATACATTCATAAATTGGTGCCACTCCGAGATGGTGAATATGTATTCATAAAACGTTTTACTGGCTTATTTTGGTAAAAAATCAAAGACTTTGAAGTCATCAACTCATTGGTCTATGTATTCGATGGTACGTATACATGCTTGAATGTTAAAGATAATATCGGAATCAATAAGTATCTGAAACTTATCGCATTTCTCAAGAAACACTCTATTGGATACAAAGCGAGAAAAATCCAAAACATTCACCGCTGAAGATATATACCAACAAATTTCTACAAGAAGCTCCCGATGAAGCATATCTGTCGAAAACGATGAATCATACTTTATATTTAAACTCTTTGTTGTCATCGGAAAGACAGTGTATCTTTATTTTATTGCATCAATGAGTAATGTACAATTTGATTGCAGAGCTTATCGTACTATGGCTCAGAGGTCTGAAGCTCAGGTTGCCACGCTGGTGGTCCAGTTTCAATTTCGGTAGGCCCGATATTTTTTTCTGGCTTGTCAGTTATTTCAATTTTTCTTTTTTTTGTTTCCTTTGGACATATGGGATAATATGGATTAGAACTTTCTCAACTTTTTCAATCGCTCATACTTTCAGGGTAGTTATTTCCAAAAGCTGCGTTAGTAAAAAAAATCTTGTGTGTATTTCGAGCACAAAGTGTTATTGCCGCTCTCCAAAGGTAACTTTCTTTGTCGAGGGGCAATCTATCGCTTTGCGCTCTAAATACTCAAATAGCTATTGGTCATGTTTTGGAAATATCCTGTAGAGGAATACTAGGGCATTAGAGCAAGGCTTATTTTTCAACAGGAAATAGAGCTCACCTGAATAAACTATCCTATCAAGAGTCTCAAAAAAACTGAAAAGGAAATGTTACTGGTGAGGTAATATTGATGTGGATATCGTTAAGAAATAGGTATTGGGACTTTGAAAGCAAATAACATAGTGGTATGTAAACACTCTTACATTTACAAAACTGGAAATATAAAAATTTTGATAATCAAGTTCTAATTTTCTATCATAAAAATACGCTCAAGATAATTGTGCATTTTTTTGAAACATTAAATAGTTATTAACGTAACAACACCGATATGTAGCAAATAATGAGTTTGAATATTTTAATCCGAGGTGTAGCCGAGGATTATAACAGCCAAAACCGTTATTTGCGTATCGGCCGTGTGTCGTTTCAAGACTATGTAATTTCACTGAAAGGTTACATTTTGATTCCGAGGAAACAACCACAAACCACGTGTACCTCTCGTAATTCTACAGAAAAATACCAACATCGTGTTGTTATGAAACAGTTAACGGCCGCCGGCCGTTAAACAATCCCAACAATCGGGGCTGTTAACATTACATTTTCAATTGTCATCTGAATACAGTGAAATCAAAATAACAGTATAGGATTACGAAAATGAAATAAATTTATTCTTTTCACGGCATTCTAACAGAAATACCTTTTATATGCAAAAATATCTGAAAAATTATATTCTGGTAGCAGAAGTGAGATAAATCACGAAACAAAAAAAATGGCCCATATTCATATAGTATCGGTTACGAATTTTGCACCTCCCTGTATATTATATCATGTTTTCCGTACCACGAAACGATTCGTTAGATCAAATCACCCTTGGCGTGCCTAATTTCGTGATTCTAGGATCAAAGATAATTGATCAAAACATCAAAACTGCATTTTAAGGACCTACCTTCAAGGGGATCTATCTAGCGCCCTAAGGAAGCCTTTTCGGACACTTGTTGATAGGACTTTTTTTTATAATAATATATATACAGGGTGTTGCGAAATTCGACCGACAACGCTTGACAGGTGATAGCCCTCGTGATTTCATACAGTCTTCAAGGGTTCAGTTCTTGAGATACAGGGCATTAAAGTTAAGAAATTAAAACAGTTGTTTCGCAATATCTCAAGAAATATTTAATATAATGCATTCAACTTCGGTTTATGGTTTCATCTTTGAATGGGTCATTTTTTCACCAGGAAGCCATTCCGGACATTTAATCCAGTGGTGCCCAACAGGGGGATGGGGCAACTTTTCCTCCCATATTTTCTACGCGACTGATTAATTTTCAATTATTTCCAATTCCTCGAATTCATTGTTCAATTTTGTTCAAAAAATGCATCACCTTCAACTGAGCTGATATGAACAGTTTTCGAGATATTCGACCCAAAATAGAAGATTGCATAGTAATATTTCATCATTTTCAGTAGTAGAAAATTGCAAAAATATTTTTCTGGTGTTGAGTAGTGATGAAACGGCAGTGAAGTGGTCAAGTACTCAAATTAACTGAGTATAGATATTATATTTCGTAATATTTTATCGAGTATTTCATATATGACATTTATCAATCAATATTTTTATTTGACAACTACATTTCAATTATTCTCTATATACAGACTATAACTAGATATTGAATTATAGAAATCTAACAAGTAGATTAGATACTATCCAGCTCTCATTCTGTAGCTGAACAGAAATAGTTATTCCACAAATAAAGAGAAAACAAAAATGTTTGTAATCTTCTACTACTGAAGAAGATGAAAAATTACTATGCAAACTTCTATTTTGGGTCAAATATCTCGATAACTACTGTTCATTTTAGCTGAGATTTTAGCTCAGTTGAAGATGATGCAGTTTTTCAACATAATTGAACAATCAATTCAAGAAGTTGGAAATGATCGAAATTTCATCAGTGGCGTAGAAAATATGGGAGGAAAAGTTATCACAACCCTCTGTAGCGCACCTCTGGGTAAAATTCTCGGAATGTCTTTCTGGTCAAAAAATTAACCATTGAAAGATGAAACCATTTACTGAATTTGAATGCATCATATTCAATTTTTCTTGAGATATTGCGAAAAACCTATTTACATTTCTCAACTTCAACTCCCTGTATCTCCAGAACTGATTACTTGAAGACCATATGTTCCTATCTCAGTGATTATGAAATCACGAGGAAATGTCTTTCTGAATATCTTCAAGCAAAAAAGTTGCTCTTGTGGAAATTGGCTAAAATGAGCTCTTTTCCAGATATTTAGGTTTTTGAACTTACATACAGCACTGGAATATTTGAATTATTCTCAATAAAAAATGTCAGCTGTTATCTTCATGGATGTAATTTGGTCAGTGAATGAGCAGTATAAAAATGAATTTTTCAAAATAGTTTTTTAAATGTGCTTGACAATTTTAATTTTTAAAATTGATCACCCTGTGTCTGGCAAATGGGCAACTTCAGACTGAAATAGGTTGCTCTCAATCAGCTTATTTTGACCTCAGGACTATGTGCTGAGATTCTCTACAGACGGGTAAGTTTAGTAATTTTTTCAATTTATTTGAATACTCCAAGAGATAACTAGATCCATAATGAGTGATAAAGCTCAAACAACTAATTTACATGTAATGCATAGGAAGAGATACTTTTTTATACATCACATATTTCCAAAAAGAAGTTTTTTCATGTGTCTATTGAAAGTGTTGATGGACTGACTGTTTTTTATGTGTTCAGGAATTTGGTTAAACTATTATTATAGAGAAGGAATATTCTCAGATAAATTATGAACATACAAAAATGGATATATATTTATATAAAGCAATACATTGAGAATTCGCATTCTCTATGTGATGAGAATATTTACTCTTTCTCAGTTGATTCAATAGAAAACAACTACTTTCCTGGCTATATGCCACTACGAACATTGAATTATATCTATTGAACACACACAAGATAAGAGTTTGAAAATAAAATATAAAAACTTCTGAAATTGAGAATTTGCATTCTCCTTCAGACAAAAATATGTATATGCACACATCATTCTGAATATTCAAGAGAAAACAACTACTTTCCTGGCTATTTGCCTCTTCGAACATTGAATTATATCTGATGAACATTCAATATTAGTAGCACTAGGTAGGTAGTATGTGGAAGTGGTGATTTGTTCTGGTTTTGTAATAATGTATATCACAATTTTGTGTTAGGTTGACTTCTGTTTCATTTAGGTTGTTTTCGATTCTATAAATAATTTTGACACTACCTAGTTTAACTATATCAGGGACTTTCAAAATGTTTAGATCTTTGTAAAGCATTGTTGTGTTTGTCCTATATCGAAAATTAAATGAAGTGTCAACTATTTTATTCTGGGCTATTTGTAATCTATTGATATCTAATTGTCTTGCTTGTCCCCAAAAAGCAGCCAAGTAAGTCATATGCGAATACACATGTGGATAGTAAATTTGAGAACTAAAGTGACTCAATTTCATGAGTGATTGTTGCCCTCAACTATGTGATCAAATGGGCAGCCCTATGGTATACTGGATTTTTTGCTGGGTTGTAACAAAAATGGCACCAAAGAACTCATTACAGGAGAAAAAGATATAACTCAGCATCATTCAATTTGAAAAATTAGTCTTCTCCAAAAACCCATTACACTCTTCAAGGGCCAAATACAAGTTAAATAAATGATTTGCAACTCTTCTAAAAAGGATACAATCATGCATACTGCTCCAAAAACAAACATCAGCACAAAATCTGCTGTCCTATTCCTGAATGATCCTTCTTCTAACATCCTACAATATCTATAAGTGAATATCATATTGAAAAAGAAATTGAAACCAAAGGTTCCAAAGAAGAGGAATGTAGTTATCAATCTCCATAGTTGTCCTTGTTTGAGAATTAAGATAGGATTGAAATATAATTGGAATGGTGATGCTAACTCCAATTGCTGAAAAAAAAAATCATGATTTTTGAAGCCATAATAATTGAACTTCTGAAATTTTGGTTACTGTTCATAGTGACTATCAAATTTAAAAGTATCAGGTTCTGATCTGGTCAATATTCCATATGAATGAATAATAATACTATGAGGTGTATTTCCCTATCAATCATTGTTCAAAGTCAAAAAGGTTTCAAATTGATAGATGATGAATGTATGCACAAATCAGAAGCCCTAAAAATAGATTATTCTTTTCAACTGACTCAATTCAATCAATCCTGAGGAATAATTTAAGACCCACAATTTTGCAACTCAAGGAACAATAAGTATTACTACAGGATTTCCAACATGTATACATCCCTTGATTATATACACTAGTATGAATACTCAAAGATACAACTCATAAGATATATAAAATAAGTCAATACAAGCACAAACTACTTATGAAGAATGCCATTACTTATCAGAATATGAAGATTATTTACTACAAAGGTCCTACCACAGCTAAAGTAGTAATAACACATGCAGTTGTATATGCCCTGGTGACAGGGGGCATATTCATGTATTCATTTCTTAGACTCATGTATGCCATTTTGCGTGGAACTATTGCCGTTGTCAATCACGACATCATATAATAATTTCAATTCTACTTCGGTTTCATGTATTTCACATATATTTGAATTATTTAGGCCACATCACATTATTATTATTTATCTTCATTTTGTCATTGGTCTGAGATGCTTATAACTATGGTGTAATCATTTAGTAGTGAAAAAGTTTCGTCAAAAGTTCTCGATGAAATCTGACAGCCGCCAACTTGATTGGTCTGTGTGTTCTAAGATCGGCCATGCTTTCCAAAAACACCGCGAGAGGCGCGAGAATCGCAAAATGGCAGAACGTCCAAAATCTCTAATTTTTAGTCAAATGAATGATGAAAAAACTTGTAAAAAGTAAAAAAGTGATTAGTGATTAGTGATTTCTTCTTCATGTTTGAACTGTGAAGTGCATTTTTGGTTGGCAATCCGAACTTCCTGAAGAAGTATAAGGTAGTTTCCACTGGCTGTTTGAAGACCACAATTTCACTTCACAGTCTTTTCCATGTGTTTTCGCCTGGGTTTTCCACAATTTTTGTGTTTGTGTATGAACATCTCATTATCTGAGGTCTGAGATCTCAGATACAATTCAATACAATACCTCCAGAATCTGGAGTTATCTTGTGTGAAGAACTGGCATTTATGAATCATTTTTACACTTGTAAGTATTTTTCTGGGATTCCTCATAATATAGCTATTATATGACACCGAGTAAGATACCTAGTACCTAGTATTAGGTACTCAACTCATGAACTCATAGTATTTATCATGAACACATGCACCATGTAGGGAAGAAGGCATAGAGCAGTACTTGATCATCATGTTCATGATGCATGAATTCATATTGCATTTAACTTGAAAAATTAATTGTAGATTGTGACAGAAGCTGATCAGTATCTAGATTCATGTCAGAGTATATGCTAATTGCTTTTATTATGCTTTGAAGTAGTTACCTTATATAAATTCAACTGATTGTTTCTCCAAAGCATTTTGTGAAAATCAATCATCCATCAGGGAGAAGAATTTTCATTATAATATCAATTTGATCTTCAATCAAATTTATAGGATAGATATAAGATATAGATATCTGTATAAAAAAAGCATATCCCAGTTCATAATTTCATATAAATGCTAATAATATCAAATATGAAAAAAGCTAGAACAGGATAATTATATTCTATTGATCCTACAGATGAATAATGTAAATTTCAACCCCAACTATCATAACTCTGATGAATCTAATTCCCTCATTTTATTCACAGACATTTCAAAGAGCATTCTGGAAACCAGTTTCATCTGAATGTTCTGAAAAATAGAAGAAATGTTGAAAATAATGATGCCTACCTGATGCAAGAAGGATTTATACCAAGTGAATAAATGGATGAATAAACATAAATAAACATCAGAATCGGCAGCTCCCAAAATATTATCAGAAACCACAGGTTAGTATTTGCTCATATCATTCTTCTGTCTAGAATTAGATATTGGTAAAAAATCCATCTATCACATACAATACAATTCACTACCAAATAACTTGAAGCTGATTAATAGTATTGAAAAATTCAAAAAGGAATTCAAGAAACATATACTCCTGTAATATTGACATCATATGTCATTTTAATGGTTTTCTTGTACAATTACTATAGTTTTCCATTGGGTTCCTAACAGAGTCAATTCAGAATCATTTTCTGTTGAGCTTAAAAAAAAACAAATGATTTCTTCTTGAGTGTGAGTCTTATTTTACTGTTTTATTTATTTTGTCAAATATATCTATATATTCACCATGTTCCCTGCTATAAAAAAACATCATTTCTTGGGAAGAATAAATTTGATTGATTGATATTGAATATTGATAGAGATTTGAAATCATACACTACAAAATAGCAAAACTTGTCTATATTTGATTTCATTGACATGGAAATGTTCAACCAACCATGTAATACACAGAATCAAAAGTATTTTCATCATGTAATTGTAATTTTCCTATGATATATGAGATGACAATATGTATACATGTGTGCATAAAGAATAGGGAATCAATATCAGGAAATAGCTGGAAAAAAATGTTTACAAATTGCACATTGAAAATAAAGAGTTCCTAGAAGAAATCATATAATTACAAGGTAATTTTGAAATAAGTACATATATATCAAACACATGAATATGATAAAGTTGTGACAAGTATTCCCAAAACATTAGATTTTGTATAAGTCTTCTATTTGAGGAGACATTCCATCTTGAAAAAAAAAATTTATTGAATCAAGTATATAATGTACAACCAACATAGGTCATAGGCTATCAACCAAAGTCTATTTCTTGAAAATTGATAAAAAATACAATAAGTTCTTTTCTGGTATAAGTTCATGTTGAGGTTCATCATCAATATCCTTAATTTTCATGATTTCAGGTGGGATACAAGATTGGGAGGTGGAAGGTTCTTCAATGGGAATAGTAGGACTTTCATCCATACATACATCATCACAGAGGCTACAAATGGAAGGAAGTTAATTTCAATGTCAATTTATCATCATTTATTTGGTTGATTTATTGATATACAGGGTGTCCCTGAATTTTTTTTACAAAATGATACCATAGACAAGCATAGACTACTGAGATCAAAATGAGATAATTGAACTTATTTCACCTCTATATCAAATTGCTTTGTTTTTCATGCTTTGGTACCTTTTAAAATTATCTAAAAATTTCAGGTAAGTACCAATTTCCTTTTCAAAGAGAATCATAGATGATATCTGATATTTAGGACATTTTAGGAATTTGAAATACTGTGTATTACATATTTATTTCAACACCCTGTAGGGGCTAACCAATACATTTTGGTATAGAGGTTGAAGTTTAGTCCAATTAACTTATTATGGTCTCAGTAGTCTGTGTGTGGTATCATTTTTCATTTGATTAGAGTAACCTAGGGTAGCAAATGTAATTAATGTATTTTCTCCACATTTTTGTAATATGTAAGTATTTTATATTTATATATCAAAATATCAACTAGATTTTCAATATATTTTACTGAAATATGTATGTGTATGCTGGTGTTATTGTATCATATTATTATTATTGAAATAGATATATGTTTTCAAATACTGTCTGTAGTTTAATCAAGGAGGTGCAGTACATTCATTATTCCAGATTTTTTTGGGTTGTCTCCTTGTTTCTATGGAATAAAAATATGTATATTATTTCAATATACCTGTAGTAAGGACAAATCAGATGATTTGTCCCAAAATGTAACTGCCTAAAGAATTTTCCTATCAGAGAGCCTAAAAGAAAAATTTACTAGCTTGTTAGTGACAATTTGTATTGAAACAAGTTTGGAGATGAGAAATAAAGGTATATAGAAACAATTTCAAATTTTTACTTACCTTTGGACGTTTCAGGAACGAATCTGCTCACGTTTTCAACATAAAAAATGGATATTTGAATACCAAATTCATATTTCTCTTGGCACCTTCCAGTTCTCGGCAATGAAATGAGTTACAGGATGTTATCATTAATAAATCTTGAATTTACCATTTTCATTGATAGAACATGGTATTCACTTCTGAAATCTGAAGATGAAAATGGTAAATTCAAGATTAATTAATGAAAACATCCTGTCACACACTCATGTCAAGTGCAATATGAATTTGATATTCAAATATCCATTTTTTTTATGTTTATGCAGATTCGTTTCCCAAACGTCCAAAGCTATTAAGTAAAAATATGTTATTTTTTCTATATATACATATTACCTTTATTTCTCTTCAAACTTTTTTCAATACAAATTGTCACTGACAAGCTAGTGAATTTTTCTTTTAGGCTCTCTGATAGGAAAATTCTTTAAACACAGTGACATTTTGGGGCAAATCATCTGATTTGTCCTTACTACACATATATTGAAATAATATTCATATTTTTATTTCATAGAAATGAGAGAAAATTCCAAAAAATCTGGAATAATGAATATTCTTTTTACTTTCAATAGTCATATATTAAAATAAAGGAAAGTTTTAGGTCCATTGGAGACACTCCCTATGATCATCTCTAGGGTAGTTGTGTAATTTTATTTTTGAATAAAGGATAATAGGTACCTTGATCCTATTACAGTATCCTCAACTGTTAGTTCCATCAGACTTGTTGGGTCATTATTTTCTGTTATAGGTTCAGGTTGAGGAGATGGGATACCAGCATCAATTTGGGTATTTTCCATATTTTTTTTAGGTGAGGTACATGATTGGGAGGTGGAAGGTTCTTGAATTGAAATATTAGGAATTTCATCCATACATAAATCATCATAGAGTCTAAAAAAGGAAGAAAATCAATTTCAATGTCAAGATCTACAAGTATTTTTTTATTATTCTATACATAAATAAATAATTACAAAATTTTACAAGCTACAGCTAGGCTATGTAATAATTAGTTTAGAAAATCTAAAGCACTCTTTATTGAAAGAGTTTTAATATCATTTGAAAATAGTGCATTTTCTTAATTACTGTTCTTGCAAGCCTTCAAAAAGCAGTGTAATTTATAATGAAAATATCAATGGTTTTCTGATGGGAGACCACAGGACTCACTACTACAAATATGCTCACCAAATTTCAAGAAGATTCTCCAGATATATATTATATAGTATAACATTTTTTTAACTTCAAACCATCTGTTGAAAACAAAGCATTTGAAATCTATATTTATATGTTTTTTTTCTTATTTTAATGAGTAATATGACCTATTGAAGTTTGGTAGGTCATATTTATTTTGAGAATGAATATTTTTTTATTTTAGGAATGTATAATAATTAATGACCATCAAGACTATCAAATAATAAAATAGGTTTGGAATTTCAAATTAGAATGAAAACTAATTCATATATATTTCTATGAATATTCTAATGGACTCCAAGAAGATGATATGGTGTCTTTTGCTTTGATTTTCTCCAATTAGAAACATTGTATTTATTGATTGATAAAAAGGAATACTCTGTTGTTCCTGTTTTTTTGCAACCTAACCTACCACTTAAGCATATAATAAAAATAATATGAAAAATATTACAGTTTGGAGGGCAAAGCAGATTTTTTCAGCTTTTTCATGCCTTGACATTCTGGGGGGAAATGCCTGGAGCATATTCGACCACTAGGTGGTAAGTGTTTGCCAACTGCATCAGCCCACTTTTGTCGAACATTATCCTCCTATGAAAGTATAAAGTATAATGATGAAAAAATGAAATGCAAAGTTAGAACTAAATTCGATAAACATGCAAATATTCACCTTGGGTACCCTGTACAAATGCAGGGAATGGCCTGTACTTGTTTGAGATTGTCCACAAACTATGCAATAGTACATGATGTTCATAGAGAATTAAAACACAACAAAAACTGAATACAACACTGAACTATGAATAACGACAACGCGGAAAACAACAACAAGAACTAGAAACAACAAAACTCGAAAATAATAGGGATTAACACTGATAGGAACACTAAGGACTAAAACACTGGAAACACTCAAAAGAAGAACTGCAGACTGTAGAGAGAATACGACAGAATAAGAATAACTAGGAATCGGAATGAATCCACACTAATTTTGAATTCGAAATTCAAATCGATAAATTTGACAATCAACGACCTTGACAACAGGCACACAGAACTGCAGATAATTAACAAGGTTGGTAGAACGATGATTTATAGCCGCGACGCCCTCTACAGGTGATTTCTGAACTATGGCCAATAATCCATCGACACTTTTTGACGAAAAACAATTGACAAGTGGAAACACCATAGTTATAAACATCTCACATTGGTCATTGGACTATCAATTGTCAAGTAGTCAAGTGTGTCAGTGTCAACAGTCAACACTGTCAACGTGTCAACAGATTGTAAAAAGTGAGTTCCCAATGCAGCGTTTTTGCTTTACGCGATGAAGTTGGAATATTTTAACTTTTTGACGTTGCTGCTTTGTGTTGAGTTGAGGTTATGTTCTACAAACCCTAACATTTCATTTTTGAGAGTGTAATTAATCTCATGGTTAGTTAAATCATTGCAGTATCACTGAAATATCTACCTGATTATCAGATTTTCACTGTGCTATTTTTGTACCCATCTGACGCAGCTCTTCATACCTTGCAAGTATTATCCTATATTTTCAGTATTCTTATTATATGGTTTTTCAATACGAACCTCAACCAAAGCGACAATGATAGATAATTTCATTGGGAACTGGAGATAATAATGAGAAACAGTGCAGCAATTTTCAATTACGCGTCACTAACCACACTGAGCAACACATGACGCGAAAAGCAAAAAAGCTGCATTGGGAAGTACTTTTATGAAGTGTCTAAATCTTTGGAACCATTCCCATCCATCACGTTATACGTTGAGATTCATGTTTTTTCATACTTAATTTTTCGCAATAAAATTGTGGAGGCCGATTTTGGTCAGGGAGTTTCATTCTGGTCCACTAATAGCATGGCGTCAGCACACTGTGATGATTTGTGTAGTGATTTAGGCTTTCAAGGATGTCTTTCCTTCCTCTCGAGAATCTGTGGGAATTGTGGGATCTCGTTAATAATTCGTACTATTTCACAGACCACCCACGGTCTTAGAAATCCAAAATCCCAATGCCAAAGCTATTTCCGGTCGAACGGAAAGTGAAAAGTATGTAAAACCCAAGGAGAGTAGAGTTTATAATCCTTGTGTAAAACCCTCTTATAGCGAATTCCATTCCAATGACGGCTAAATGGACTGTCTGACGGTCCATTTAGCCGTCATTGTCCATTCTCAAACCTGGTGGTGCACTGGTTTTGCACCAGTTTTGCACCCGCACTACGTTAGTTATCTCCAAAATGTGAACTGGTGCATTCCCAATGGAATACAAAACAATAAACAATATAATAAAATTTTATTGTTGGAGGTTAAATCGGATGAATCTGTTTGTCTTTGTTTATAACTTGTCCGCATCCTGAAATTCAGTACCTCTTTCATCATTGAATTATAGTGCAAAACATTCAACAAAATTATGAATTCTGGGAAGTAATCTCTCTCATTTTCTTGAAACCTTCAAATTTTTATCACTACTTGATGATGATGATTAGATTGCCACTCATTTTTGGTATTTCATGCAACATTCATTATAATTACATTTTCACTACATTAAAATTACATTTTCACTAGCCGCGGACTACCCGTTCATGCAACGCATGCTCTTAATGAACTAATTATTCGAGGTTATGTGATCTGCTTGGATTTTACAAATGTTCACAGGTTATTTGAGAATATGGATTTATTTTGAATATAATATCTGAGGTGAATCACAAATAGTTTTGTGGAAAAAATGATCATTCAATGATCTAATTTTGCAAATCAGTCGTTTTCACTAGAACTATAATGTAATTATAATGAAAAGTTAGAAGTTGGTCAACTTCTTAGTGCACTAATGTGATGAAAATGTAATGAAAATGTGTTAATGTGTTGCATGAACACATTCTATGACTCAACATTCTTAATTTATAATGTAATGAAAATGTAATCATAATGACTGTTGCATGAATCGGCCTTAAATCATGCATATTCAATGTTTCCGCCATTTTCAAAACTGCACTGACTTCGCACGACCTATTAGAGCTCGTGCAAGAATTGTTGCACTGACACCAGTTTTACCTAGACCGCATTAGGCATGAAAAGTTTAGTTCTTGTACCAAATTGCATCATTTTATCACGTGGCGTTTCGGAAATATTCAAGAAATATCATCTTCAGGAGCCCCCTTTCAGGGGACCATAGCTATAGCTCCGTTAGGAGACATTCTTCGACTCATGTTCATTCGAACTTTTTTTCCTATTCTTGGTCAAAGAAGCTGCTGGTGAAGTTTGGCAGGCTAATTTCGGGACACCCTGTATAATAGAGATCTAAGTTGATAACCTAAGAAAACAGTGAACCAAAACTGGCATCCGTTGTGGGTACCTAGATCTAGATGTCTTTTGTAATGGCCAAGAACCATCGAAGGACTTCTCATGAAAACTAGAAATTTCGAGATAACAATCATGTCGAAATTTCGAGATGTTAAGTCGAAATTTTGACTTACTAATACGAAATTTCGACTTACTAATACGAAATTTCGACTTACTAATACGAAATTTCGACTTACTAATACGAAATTTCGACTTATTATTTTTTTCCATTGGCACTCCAGAGCTTTCGTACATTTCTGACAATGAGAAATAAAAATTATCGTTCATCAGTTTTCTCATCGATTTTTTCAATATTCCATGTCTGCAGAGAAGTGGGTGACTGATCTCTGATGTCTGGTACATTCCACTCGATTTTAGTACAATTCAATAGTGATTTCAGTACAATTAGCTTTTTTTCTTCTGGCAACACTGCCTGCAGCTGCTGTGCGGCGCGGTATGGCGGTATTGGCGCCTGGCGGTAGTCCGGTAATTAAGATCCGGTAATCAACTGATTGTTTGCAAATAGTTTTTCAACTCAACAAAAATATAGAAATTTCAAGCACTTACCATCTTTGCAGTGGTGATGATAACAGTTATTAGTAAATGAAGATACGGTAAGCAATCAACAGAACATCTAATTCTCTGGAATTAATTTTATTTTTTATTTTTCTGAATAGTTTTTGTGCATCTGTGTCTGGTGTCTGTAATCTGTATGTGCCCTGAAGTGCCCTGGAACTGGATTGTTCAAGATAGCTAGAGGTAGAGCTGTATAATACTTTCCCTCAACATGGATGTTTTGGAATATTCAGATATTTCAGCTGAATTAAAAGGATGTATGGTGAGCAGGAAACATGAGTGTTAGAACAGATTGATAACCTATTTGATTGTTTCAAAACTTTCAGACACAAGGAAAACTGAAAATAACAGACCAACATATAATATTCAAGAACAGCAAAACTGGCAAAGTAGAGCAAATATCTTCATCAGATTTTGATTTAGTAAATTTCCAAAATTTTGCTGGTACCTGGGGTATCCGCCTGTTTTTGAAAAATGGTATATTGCATAGATTTGTTGGCTTCAAGGATTCAGATAAAGAAAAAATTGCCAAGTTTTTCAATAAGAACTTCAAAATCGATATGTTAGAGAAGGAACTAAGTGTGAAAGGATGGAATTGGGGCACAGCTAAGTTCAATGGATCAGTTTTGAGTTTTGATGTAGGTTCTAATAGTGCCTTTGAAATACCCCTCAATAATGTTTCACAGTGCATTGCTGGTAAAAATGAAATCACCATGGAGTTTCACCAGGTAAACCTATGATCTGATAAATTTTTATGGATGTTTTCAAATCCATGTTATTCTTCAGAATGATGATGCACCTATTGGTTTAATGGAAATGAGATTTTTTATACCTTCTAATGAGTTAGCTGGAGATGTTGATCCAGTTGAAGCATTCCAACAACGTGTTATGGATAAAGCTAGTGTTATCAATGTTTCTGGTGATGCCATTGCCATTTTCAGAGAAATTCAATGTCTTACACCTCGGTATGTTTATCTTATTGGTATTCAAGTTTGGCATCAAAAACTGTTCCCATTGAAAAACTTGATAGGGTCTGGTCAGTGTAACTTTTGGATACCATGTGACTCAAGGCATATACATATTCAATGCATAGGTGATTTTTGCTGTCCCAAAGTTAATTTGGTTAGACTACCTATTGGTATGTAAAATAAATTTCTATATTAATACAATATAATGCATATCTCAAATTTTTTTTATTTTTCTTACTCAGTATAAATAGGTATAGAGAAAGAGAGGGGGCGAGAGAAAAAGAGAAAAAGTAAGAGAGGGGGAGGGAGACAAAGAGAAAAGAAAAAGCAGGAAAGAAAGAAAGAGAGAGAAAATATAATTTATTATCATAAGTATGCTAATGTTTACAAAATATCAAGGTTCAAAATCTGCTTAGAGCTCTGAATTGATTATGAATTTTGAAAATTGAAGAAGTATGATTTTTCAATAGGAAAGAACACAAATGGGTATATTCTTTGGTCTACATAGAACATAGAACTTAAACATGATATAGTTAGTAGAGAAAGAACAAACCATGTAACTTTACAGAAAAATCACAACATCATGTTATGGACCAGTTGAAGGCCACCGGCCGATAAACAATGTTAACTGATGGAGGCTGCTAACATTAACTTTTCAATTGTCATCTGAATACTGTTAAATCAATGCAAAAATTTGTCCTAACTAAACGCTTTTACCAAGCCTAAAAGAATCTGAATGACTTATTTTGGTATACTTGTTGTTTTGATGAACCTCAAATTTTATGATATTACTCAAATATCTGCATCATATCATGTCTCAATCAAGTTTATTAATAATAAAATGATTGAGTTTTAAACTATCTTGCCCAGTTCATCCATGGCATTGTACAATGGTTGTTAAAATCAGTTAAGTTTACAGAGAGATAAGCTGATGAATGTTGAAATACTCTAAAAACTCAATTTAGAATGCTGTGTTGATTATGCTCTGGGAGCATATCTTTAGGAATTTCATGAGCATCATGGTAGTTTTTCTAAAAATGAATTTTCTTGTCTATTTTATATATTAGTGAAAACCTGGTAATGAAAGTAAAAGAAAAAATATTTTAATTCTGCCCATTATTTTCATTCAAGTCAATGGGACCAGTGGGGCCAAGTGTTTATCTCAAGAACCTTTGGTGTTTTTTTTTTAACTGGTTATGTTTTTAGTGGACGATATGATATCAAAATATTCCATAGCTTTTTTCAACTCCATGGTAAAACATTTGATTATAAGATTCCTATGAGTACTGTCCTTCGGTTATTCCTGTTACCACATAAGGATAGCAGACAAATGTTCTTTGTAGTCAGTTTGGATCCGCCTATAAAACAAGGACAAACAAGGTATCATTTCTTGGTGTTGTTGTTCAACCGAGAGGATGAAACTTCCATTGAATTGCCGTTCTCTGAGTAAGTGTGGAAAAATTTACAAAATGCCTTTCTCTTTGTAGATGCCTAGTGTTTTTTTAGGGAGGAATTGAAAGAAAAGTATGAAGGTAAAATAGAGAAGGAGCTCAATGGTCCTACATTTGAGGTGCTTGGAACAATTATGAAAAATATTATAAATCGGAAATTGACTGGTCCTGGAGGATTTGTTGGGTGAGACATTTATTGTTAATGTTTTTGATTTTTGACTGCAATGAGACTTTTGTAATATTGGCTGAGTACTTTCATAGGTAAAATAATATTTCCTGTAATCCTGATTTCCTGAATAGAGTTATGAAAAATTGTAGTCATTCAAGTGTGCAACATGTATATGCAACTTATAACTTATTAAGAATCTTCAGTGCAGCAATTCTCATTGCGCGCCTAATGTCATTTTGGACAGCAACTGTTTTCGTTTTACAGCCATCGAAATAGTCCTTGACATGTCGATTTTACTTTGAAATATAAAAGCTCTCCGGTGATGAAATGATGGATTTTCGATATTTCTTTCATTATTTGTACATCCTTAGATTCATATTAGTTGCGTTTTATTTATCCGATTCCGCCACCGGAAACACTTTAATGTGTTGTTTTATATGCGACTTTACCGATTCCGGTAGCTACTTTTCATTCCGTCTCACTACAAGGAATGACGTGGAATGACTGTTGCTAGTTGTCAGAAAATGAAATTAGATTGACGAAAAACGAAACTTTTTGAAAGTAGAAGACATTTAGATGACAATTTTATCGTGTGGTTCACGAGTTTATGATTTTTTCAAAGTAAGACGGGTTTCATATCTTCATTCCCAGATAAAATGATCTTGATCCCAGAGAACTTTTTCCAAGCAGCACAATGATTGCTCCAAATATACTCTGATTCATTTTATTCATAATCTAGTATTATGATGATGAAATTATTCAGAGCCCAAATATATAAATATAACTTCAATCATCTACTAGGTCATGAAGTTTCCTGTATTATTTGTAAATGTCATTGTTCTCATTGTTTCTTCTGAGGCAATAAGAAAAACAGATTTTTTCTCAAAATGACATAGAAAGTGGCTTTTCAGTGACACTTGACCGGCACGAAAGTTGTACCTTTCCTGCCTACTCAGGAAACAAGGTGGATAGAATATGGTGTATTCACAGTGTTTTGTTTATCCCTAAAACGCTTGAACGCAGAATCCGCAATAATGGCATATTAGTGCTCAGTTGTCCGCAAGATTTGTTTTATGACAAAAAACAGAAAAGGGCGCTTACACACCTCTTGCACCAGAAATAATAACATCATAACATAACCTCAAATCAAATGAGATTAAATTTCTATGGAACTTTTTTTTGGGAAATTTTAATTATCATCAGTTCTACCAACCTTGAATTTTGGCAAGAATTTTGGTTGAGATTTCGCCATCTAACGGGTAAAATGTGACCTATTTCAGCGATATTGAAAAGAATCCTTCTGTAAAAAACAGTAGATGGGATTTGATAGGAGTTTCTACACCATCTTCTGTTCATCCTGGCAGGAAAGTACTGCTTATAGGCAGGAAAAGTTTGCTGCAATGCATCGTTCCAAGTAATTATTCGAATCAAATTGGTAATCAAAATTGACAATGACTTTGGGTGAACACAAAATGCTGGATTATTTGGGGTTTGCATGGAATTTTACGAATTTAGAGAAACATTTATATGTTTCGCACAGCACGAAAGCAGATTCAATACCTTGGCTGAATACCTAGCCTCGCTATGCTCGGCTATGAACTATCAGCCGCGGCATTAAATATTGTGCTTTCCCAATAACTAATTTTGACGAAAAGACATTGCAAGCCAGTCATTCCGAATCAGTGTTGAATAGCCTGCATATTATGATTGCTTGATATATGACCTGCAGCAATCAATTTACAATAATTGTATACAGGATGTTGTTTTTTATGATGACCCTGTATAAGCTTTCATGATGACAAAATTCAGTCTAGTTGGTGACTGAGAAAGTCTCAAAGTTTCATAATAATACTCATCGAGGTTATTGGGTATTCCCAATGGGTGTTTTGAGGGCATCTACATTAAAATTTGGAATCAAATCAATTTTTCATTATTTCCTCAGAAACTGAGTGTTATACAAAAATATAATAAGGGACAAGAAAGTTGTATTTTCAATTGTTCAATCTGATGAATATATCGAATTTTAAAAAAATAAGACGTAGGTACTTTCAAAAAGGTAACCCATTGCGACGCCACAAGAATCATTATTTTATTATACCCTGCCATATCACCACAATACCGTTCCCTTTCAGTCATTCTGGTACCCCAGCCGTGAGCTGTTCTTTCAAAGCAGCAGCTGGACTGCTCTATCCGCTTGAACGCGGCTTCATCTACGTGCACAAACCTCCGTTGCACATTCGTTTCGAAGAAATAGCCTCTGTCAACTTTGCCAGAGGCGGGGGCAGCACCAGGTCCTTCGATTTCGAAGTCGAACTAAAGTCAAGTACCATACACACCTTCAGTAGTATTGAAAAAGAGGAGTACGGGAAGCTATTCGACTTCATCACATCGAAAAAACTCAATATCAAGAATAGGGGGAAGAATGTAAGTTTATTTGAAAATCTTTTGCAGCTCATTTTGATCAATAGGTAGAATGTATCTTTTCTTCATGACAATAAAGTATATTCTCTCTCTCTCTCTCTCTCTCTATAATCTATTCAAAGTCAGTTGGAGCGATTGTCAGTTGTACAATGAATTGATGTTCATCATCCATGGCGTGGAAACAATGTTGAATTGAAAAATCTCAATCAGTGAATGTCTGCCATGTGCACGAAATTCAAACGAACTTCAAAAGAAGTGAAACCGCACTGCATACATACCTATATATGTCTTTTTCTCGAGCTGACTTTGGATCGACACGATTTTTAGTGTAATGATAACTAGAGAGTTGAAGTAATCACTGTACGTAGACATTGACATACGAAAAAGAACGTTTACGTATTGTCGTTAAATTGAGTTGAAGTTTTCACTTTGGTCGTTACTGTCATCGTAACGTAATAATACGTTTTGGTTTCGGTTTACATTGGTCATTTTTGGTTGTGTGTTTAGATCCGAACATTTATTCCTGTTAAAATGAAAGGACTCCATGATGCAGAACTCCTTGGGGATCCCGAATTTGATAATTTTGACTCATCAGCATATTTCGAGTATAGTTTGCTTAACGTACGTTGATATTTATGGTATACGTGAAAGTATGTGAGATAACGTACACCCGTAAGCCCACTATCAACGCAACCGTGAATAATTGGAAAATGCGCATGCGTAGCTGTCATTTTCTACGTTTACGTTAACGTTCATGGCACCACTTCAACTCTCTACTATTTACGTCTACCACGTATTAAAGAGATTGGTGAATACGAGAATGAATATACACGAAATTGATCGTTGACCACTGACCATAATTTGACGTTTGCTATTTTTCCTCATATTTTCAATAAGGATATAGAGAGATTGAATTAACATATAGGGTGTTTCCATATATGTGACACAATGTTGGAAGTTATACCGATATAAGATTAATAATAAAACAAAAATATTGCGAGAGGACTATAGTGGGTGCATTCTCACAATACATTGACGACGAAATAATGTATTTCAAAGCAGATTGGTGTGATTTTTCCAGGACAAGTCGTCGTACAAGGACGATTTCGGCGGGTCGGACGAGGAGGCCGCCCCCGATGCGTACCTGGAGCGCGTCAAGGCCGAGGGCCAGGAGCGCGACGATGACGACGGCAGCGACGACGACGGCAGCAGCACCGACGAAGACTTCAATCCCGATCAGGCGGAGAGCGACGTGGCGGAGGAGTTCGACAGCGCGCACAGCAGCTCCTCGGAGGAGGATGAGGAGGGCGGAGGTGGATCAGGTCGGTGTCGGTCACTACTTCAGACTAAAGACCAATAGATAAACATTGCGGTTCATTCATAAATCATCGAAAAGTATGCGCCAATAATCCTAAACGCCAAACACGGATAAACGAAGGAAATCGCGAATGGTGGGGATAATTCTGCCGAATCATTGCCAGAGAATTGATATTCATTATAGGTATATTAAATATTTGATCAATCAACGACAACTTGAGCGACGAGGACTTCAATCCCGATCGGCGTTGTCGTACATCAGAGATCTCCAAACTACAACCTGTGGGCATCCGACCTGCGACAGCTTATTGCTTTTTTTGTTTTTTGTTCTGTACTGGGAGTTTGATAAAAAAACAGAATGATAATAACTAATTTATTTTCTTGCTAGGTATAGCTTGATGAAATGTATTACACGCAGATAATTTAACTCAAGCATGATAATTGACAAGTAACTGAACTAAATCCCACCGACAGTATTAACTAGTGAACATCCCGCTGTTTCATCCTCGAAGATTTACCTAATTGTCATTTTCCACTGACAATAGTTCATAGTTGTGGACCAATTAATCATTCCAGAATTACGTCATTTGACAGGTTGCTGAGGGGCAAACATTGTATTTTGTCAAGATCTGTCATAGAAATCCAGAATTAGTGGGATCGTTCTCCTTGGAATCCGAGTTGGAACCAGAAAGAATTTCATAATTTTGTTTGGTGAAACTGTTATTATATTGTGGATGTGGCAGGAGGACGGCCTGGGCAATGCTCATCAAAGGTAACCTAACAGATAATTTGTGTGCCCCTCAAGAAACCATGTCAAAATCACGTGTTCTAGAATGATCAATTTCACTTGAACCAGTTATTAAGAGAAATTTAATGGAAACAAGTAGAAATCGGTCTGTTGGCTACACTTTCAGTAAGCTAGTGACCTCTGTTCCGAATTAAGTTATTCATTTGTTATCCTAACCCTAAACATTTTTCTAAATTCTGTCAAGTTTATTTTAGAAAAATTCTCATGTTTAAACATTTCAAGTACTTACAGGAATAAGGAAAACATGATGAAGAAAGAAGAAACTATTAGTTGTTTATGCAATTACTATTCCACTCTTGTTCTCAAGAACCAATCAGAAACGACCATTTTCGGATTCTCCGATATAATTTTTGACGTTTATAACGTCAATTATGTTGAAAGCCAGAATGATGGATGCAGTGTGCGCAACTCCCGCGAGCGGCTCGTTTATTGTCTTAATCATGGAATATTCATAGGAATACAACTTGTGCTATTTTTCCTGGAAATATTCGTCGGTTTGACATACTCCGGTAAAATAGTATCACTTGTGGGATTACATGATAAAATTCTCGATTCATTTATGTTATTTGAATATTTGAGTAGGAACCAGAATCACGTCAGTGCTATGATAAAACGTTACGGTTTGCATTTTCTCAAAATGATGGTATGCAAGCTCAGAATAAATCGGTGGGGACATTGAAACAAAAAAAAAATGTTTGGGTAAGGTGAACAATTTTCGTTGATTGTTTGCCAATAACCAACCTAAATATGAAAAATACTCGGTATCAAGGACGAAACTATAATTCCACTTGATTAGCTCAGGTATTTATTTGGCATCTGAATCTCAGTTTGAAGCAAAACCATAGTAAAACGTGTCCATGACACTTCGTCGAATGGACGAGTCTTAATATGTCTCGGCAACAAAATCACTTTCGGCAACATGCTCTGTTGTTTTTCGGCATAATGACCACTTTATTCAAAGTGTCCAACGATCTGTTTCGGCATTTTGACCGAAAATTGCCGATTTGTCCAGATCCCAATAAAACTCAGTCACGGAAAAAGTCATACCACACAGATAGAATTAATTGTTTCACTAAAACTTCCTTGGATAAAAATTGATTGTTGAGTATTTTGGTTACAAACTTTCGTTGTTAACAGAGAAAATACCTATAGTATCAAATTCTCGTTCCACTTCAAGCTCTCAACTGAATTTTGGACTGGGACCCGATTCTCGAATCTGCAGGAATTCGATCCTATAGGAGAATGATCCAATGCTTTCAGTTCTCATAGGAAATGATAATTTGTCATGGCACCTATTCTTGAACCAGATGGAATCGATTTTCCCAGGGGCCGTATGTCGCAGATAGATTCTTGAACTTACATGAATTCACCAATGAAATAAGTGGAATTTATGTTGGTGGTGGATGATTGAAATAAAATGTTGACATTTTGATTTTGACAAATTTAAAGGTTATAATATAATATAATTTTGCTACTGTGAGATTATTGTGTATTGTATATTTACTATATTTCCTCTGATCGAAATTGATAAGGACACAAAACAATATTAAAAAACCACGAGGTGGTAGTATTAGCGAAGAGCAGACGAGACCTTTAATAGAAGGCCTCTGAGGACTTGAGGAAAGGAATATTCCACCCCCAATTCACTTATAAGGATTTTAAAGTACCTATCAATTTTCTAGTAATGTCTTTAGACAAACGAAAAACTTCAATGAATTGTGCAGCAGACAAACACTCAAATGGCCCCTTCTTCTTCAAGGATTTCAGCCACTTCCAAATTTTGTAAAACCTCTAGATGATCTATTTCATCTATGTTCGCCATACATTATGTTTTTCCGATTTTTCAGTAGGGTTCAGTTCCCATCACAAATGAGAATAACTTCGTATTTCATTAGTGTATCCTATGGGAAACATGTTGTTCCCATGAGTACCATGGGAAGCAGTCCTCTTGAAATGTGTAGGAATAGTTTCCCATACAATAGTTCAAGAATACATCATCTGGAATTTCCATGGGAAATATGGAGTTTTTCTCATGGGAACGAATTCCAACGGATTCGAGAATCGAATATGTTGCCTTCTATTCCAAAAAACCTTTCCAATTATTTATTCTGATTCCAGGTGGTGAACGCAAAGAAAAGAAAGAAAAGAAGGAGAAGAAGAAAACCAAAACAGTGTCCGAGAAACCGAGAAAGAGACGCGAAAAGAAGGAAAAAGACGAAAACAAACCGAAACGTGCCACTACTGCTTTCATGTTATGGCTGAACGCCACAAGGGAACAAATCAAAAAAGATAACAAGGGTATCAAAGTGACGGAAATAGCCAAGAAGGGAGGCGAGATGTGGAAAGCACTCAAAGACAAATCGGAATGGGAAGCAAAAGCGAAGAAAGACAAAGAGCGATACGAAAAAGAGATGGAGGAATACAAAGCTAGTGGTGGCGGTTCCGATTCCAAAGAGAAAAAGCCGAAGCAAAACCGACCCAAGGAAGCCAAAAAAGCCGACAAAACCGAACAACCCGACAAACCCCAACAACCCGACAAACCCCAAAAACCTTCCGAAGACAACAGCAGGTTCAAGAGTAAAGAATATATCGAAGATGATGATAGTAGTGACAGTGATGATGATGAGAAAGGAAGCAAAAGAAAAAAGGGAAGCGACGATGAATCTACCAAAAAGAAGGCTAAAAAAGGTTCCGATAGTGAAACTGAAAAAAAAGATAGTGATGATGAGGATGATAAAAATTTGTCTAAAGAAGTATCGGATAGTGAAACTGAAAAAAAAGATAGTGATGATGAGGATGATAAAAATTTGTCTAAAGAAGTATCGGATAGTGAGAGTGACAAAGATAGTGATGATTAAGGTATTGTTGTGTTAACTGTTCATTAATTAAATTAAATAACACGTTCTTATGATATAACTTGTATTATTTATTAGTAACTTCTACGATTTAAAATAGTGTGTACGCGTTGTTGTGGTCTCGCCGCCATCATTAATTCAACTGTCTGTCTAGCCTCTCTCCTGGTCCCATCACCTATAAACCTGATATTTACAATGCTAGCCTCAACCAGGGTACCTTGATAGAATTTGAGAACACTACATTCCTCCTCTACTTCAAATATGAAAATGAAACATTGTATTAATCTATTACAAAACAGTTTTCATAATTTTAGTAGCTCATAATCACAACTAGGCTCTGAATTTATAACTTCACTGCTCGAAACTACATTCTATATTAAATTACAACTTTACATTAAACTCTTTTTTTTTTTATTCAAAACATAAGTCACGCAAATAGGTAGGTCTTCTTATTAACCTCTCAGGTCGCAGTACTGGAGCTGGTACTACTGTCGTAGTTGGAGTACACATAGTGTCTCCATTGTCTGTTGACTCTGAATCTAGACCAACAGATGGATCTTGATCAACAGAAGTTTCCGGATCTGGATTTATTGACGCTTCTGGACTTGGAGATGGTTCTACATCAGAACTTATAGGGAATTTTCATTATTTTGCTGATTTGGCTGTCTGCATCTGATACGTATGATCTGGGAGTTTCTATTTTGAATGGGGTATGGAAAAGTTTCAGTTTGACTCTGAACATTTGATGGACCAATTAATTTGAAAAATGATGAATTTCTATTAATAATCTTTTCTCCTCTTCTTGCTGTTACTTTAGTTCCACTGATTTTGATTATTGTATAGGGGTCTGGATCATAGGTTGAAGTCAAACAGTTTTGCATGGTTTGTTTGCAGAGCACCTTCATTCCTACTTTGAGTTTATGTGGTGATGTATGTCTTTTTTTGTCTGCATAATCTTTGAATTTCTTTTTTCTCAGCTCATCATGGCCTGACTGGGTTTCTTTGTTGTTGGTGATCATTGGAAGAAAATTGTTGATCTCCCTTTGAAATACTGCTTGAAAAGGAGATTTTCCAGACGTTGTATGAGGAGTACTTCGGTAATTCAAAAGAAATTCGTTGATTTGAGAATCAAATTTGTTAGATTCTAGTTTGGCACATTTCAAGGATTTTTTGAAAGTTCACAAACCTTTCTGCCATACCATTGGCTTCTGGCCAATAAGGTGTTATTTTCTTATGTATGATGTTATAGTGTGCAAGGAAATTTTGTATATCACGTCCATTAAAAGGGGGCCCATTATCAGATTTCAGTGACTTGGGGATTCCAAATGTTGAGAATGTCTTTTCTAAGATGGGCTTCACATGGACAAAACTTGTTGATGGTACTATCTCTACTACTGGATACCTGGAATATTCGTCAACTAAACTACTCAACAATAATTTCGTCGCACACCAAAATGTCGCCCCTGTTATAATGTGAATAACTTTTTTCAGTTTGGAACAATTTGAATTTGGTTCACACTGTTCGATAGCCCAGTCCTTCAGCTATAATCTCGTACTTCATTGAAACATAAGGGTATTCACATAAAATCTCTACATGGTGTTTTCCGACACTGTGCGAAATTTCGGAATATTCAAAATGCTCTCAAATGGTGAAAAAAATTTTTTCTCAACTTCGACAACAGAGGCATGAAGATGATCTCATTACCTCGAGATATTTCGCGAATCAACTTCCAATCTCTCTTATTTACAGAGTGATCTCAAAAAATCAACTTTTTGGTTTTGCAGCCATAACTTTTTTCCACGTCAACCGATTTTGGAAATCTTAGGCTCATTTTGAAGATAAAACTTTAGATGAAGAGATCTGAATATCAGAATTGACTCAAGATGGCAATCAAAGATCTAGAGTTTTCTTGAAAGTGACCCAAATCTGTAACGCCCTCCGAATCTCGGTTGGGAGGAGAATTGAATGAAAATCAACTTGTTCTCGGAAAAACAATTCATTCTGGATGCGTCCATATTTTCCTCGTTCTCAGTACTCAAGAATGTGCGTGAGAAAACACAATTGAAACATGTTCTTGCATAGTCAGAGTCGTTCGCTTGAAAACCTCTTCTGGTTTCCTTACCAGACCCATACAGAGATATTTCCCTTGGAAATTCGTGCTAAAGAAGAAGCGCGGAATTTCAGATCAACGTTGGAGAAGAGAACAGAAAAATTAAAAAGCCAAGAAACCAATATGAGGAGAAAGAAAGAGGAAAGAAAAGATGAAGAAGAAATCGGAAATAAACATCTAATCACTGTTACATGCTCGGGTAGAATAGTGAAGAAACCTCAGAGATTTCAATAAGGAGTTGAGTCACTCTTCGTTTGACGTTCTCCAAGGGAGAAAGGGAGTATGTTAGAATTGGAATACATACCCTGTATTAATTTATTATGATTAGTAGTAGATGTCAAGTTGAATGAAGTGTGTTGTCACATATATTTAATCATTCCAGAATTACGTCATTTGACATGTTGCTGAGGGGCAAACATTGTATTTTGTCAAGATATGTCATATAAAACCAGAATAAGTGAGATCGTTTTCCTTGGAATCCGAGTTGGAACCAGAAAAAAATCCATAATTGTGTTTGGTGAAACTGTTATTATATTGTAGATGTGACAGGAATGGCCAGGGCTATGCTCATCAAAGGTAACCTCTAACAAATAGTTTGTGTGCCCCTCAAGAAACCATGTCAAAATCACGTGTTCTAGAATGATCAATACCCTTTCAATTTTTGAATTAATATAATCTCCATTCAGTCCTTTGAAGTATTCGGGTGATTCACTCTGGGTAGGTTAACTGTCCGTTACACCATCAGAGATATAGCATAGATGAATGTCCGCCTCAAATGAAATCATAGACTGCTTATATATATCAGTGATGCAACATCAGACTTGAATAAGATATATGCTCCTGTGAGATTACAGTGATGACTATGTATCTACAAAGCTCTCTCCATGAGCATGCCAGAGACGTTCCTGATAAATCTGTGCTCTGCATTAGCTCCATCTCAAATCATCCATAAATTTATACTGGTTCCACCAGTATTTGAATCAGTTTCGAATGCAACACCATAATGTTTAGGATATATTCTTGGATTTTCAGATGTTGAAATCAAAAAATCCAATAATATACCCCTAAACACATGGAGTGGCATTCAAAACAGTGAAACAGAAGGAGTAAAAACGTAAACTTTATTCCAACCCATTGACAAATTCCTAAACAAACCTCAAAATATATGTAAAATAAAAATATGAAATATACTATATATCTACACAGGGCGTTCCCAGTTATCATGATGATCACCCCAGACAGCACTGGATATTCATAGAATATTCTCTAAATATGCTAAAAAGGAGGAGTATATTCCGAATATTCATCGATTATTCCTAGAATATATACATGCCTTTGGAACATCTAAAAGGAATATTCCAAAGTGAATAGTCGGACATGTTCAGGGAATATTCAGGTATGAATCTTCCAGGAATATTCGCAACTGAATATTCTCTGTTGTATATTCATGGAATATACCCAACTGAATATTCTGTGCGGTATATTCATGAAATATACCCAACTGAATATTCTGTGCGGTATATTCATGAAATATTCTCAACTGAATATTCTGTGGTGTATATTCATGAAATATTCCATGAATATTCCTATGTTCCTCAACACATAAATACCATTTATTATTTCAGAGATGTGAGTATCGAACATCAATTAGATGTAAGGGGATTTTGAAACAAAAAGTGTATATGATCCGATTTCGAACAATGCTCTCACAAGAACTTGATATGTATAACATTATTCAATTTGATTACTGGCCTAGTGGTTAAGGCGTTCCTCTGATAGTCTTGAGGTCACGAGTTCGATCCCTACTTGGGTCACTTTTTTTTATTTTAGAATATGTTTATTGGAATATTCCAGGAACATTCAACATAGAATATTCTTCTGGGTATATTCTATGATTATCTGAGGAATTCCCATTCGCATATTTAGAGAATATTCCACAGATATTCCGGAATGTTCCAGATTATTTCTAGAATATTCCAATATTCCAAAAGGAATATGATAGGGAGATTCATGGAATATCTGGTGCTGTCTGGGACAGCATATGGTTATTTTCTTCCATAACTCCTTCATTTATTTCCTTTTAACCTGCAGATTCCATCTCTTGGAAGTGATGCATAGAGAAGTTATCGTTCATTTTCATGGGAGATCATTTTGTTTTGTTTTCACTGTTCTCTCCAACCATTTTTCCATCAAAATCGTGATCAAAATCTTTAGTGGAGCTGACTACAAAACTATAGAACAAATAATATTTCAGTGCAAATAAAAGTATACAAAACAAGTGTTCACCTGTCATTATTGCGAAAACTCTCAGATTGGCCTAACCTTCTGAGAACGACTGCCTGGGTTCTCAGATTCACCAAGACTATGATCTCCAGAGTAAGAAAATTGAATGACAAATTTCAAAAATGTTTGACACCAACAGAAATAGACAATTCCAAACTGCTGTGGATCGAGAAATGTCAAGAAAACTGTTTTTATGAAGAAATACAGTGCCTCCTGAAGAATAAGTTGTTGAAGAACCATAGTCGTCTGAAGAAACTTTCTCCAACAATTGATGATCGAGGAATATTGATTCTCAGTGGTAGAACTGACCTTGCACCAGACATGGAACCATGTACGAAACGGCAAATCATTCTTCCTATAAAAAACATAGCCTGGTTGATCTACTAATACAAGATTGCCATGAGAGATTCGCCCATCAAGGTGTGGAGACTCTGTTTTTAATGAAATACGAAGACAATACTGGGTGATAGATGGAAGGAGCGTGGTGAAATCGATTTTCGCAAAATGTCGGAAATGCAGGCTAAACAAGTCGAAACCAATTATACCAGTAATGGGACAACTACCTGTAGAAATTTTGAAACCTTCAGTGAGACCCTTCACATATACAGGGGTCGACTATTTCGGACCATTGCTGGTAAACATTGGAAGAAGACGTGAGAAAAGATGG